GCACATGGGTTAGCTCATGTTGCAAGGGGGGAGGTTAGGAGAAAGATCACAAAGGAGTATGGTTTTTGGGCACCATATTTGCTTGAACAGGTTGACTATGTCATAGGCAGGTGCACAATCTGTCTGAAAAATTATGTTCGCAGGGGTGTGACTGTTCTTCCTGGTCACATTCCTACACCGAGAGGTCCTATGCGTGAGTTGGTTATCGACTTTGTTGATATGATAAAACCAGTTGAAGGGAAAAGATAAATGCTGGTGGTTGTAGACAGATTTTCACGATGGCAGGAGGCATGCCAAGCGAAAAGAAGCTCAGTCGGTTGCAAAGTTTTTGTGTAAAGAAGTCATAAGCAGGTGGGGATTTCCCGATTGAATATCCTCAGCTAATGGGAAAGAGTTTTGAGGATAAATCAGTGAAATTGATTTTTCAAAAAATTTGAAGAAAAAAAAAAATAGACGACCAAAATTTTACGAAAACTAGGGTTGAAGTAACTCTAGGAAATTTTGAATATCCGATCATTTTTCACATTTCTTTGCATATTATTGTGATATTTAGTATTTTCTTAGGAATCAAAGGGGGGAAATGGAATGTGATTAATTTTATATATCATTTTGATATTATTTTTGATATTGATGTTTTAATTTGCATGTGTTGTTTTGCAAAAGATACTGGTTGGTGTTTTCTTTTCTTCCAGAAGAATATGGGGATGTGTAGAGTGGGATTCAAATACTCAAACATGGACAATATGAATGGACTGGAGAAAGTTGAACAAGGAAGGTGTGGAAATGTTCAGATTCCATCATCGACGTTGCATTAAAAGTCGACACTGCTGAGGAGCTGCAGTGTAGTGGACTACATTCCAGTGTCTGCAATGATATATAGACATATTTGCATGTGTAACACATAATTTGTGTAATATTCTTTCTGTATTAATTTTTGGAAGAATTATGTTTTCTGTGGTTGGGTACATGTGGGGACCTCAGAGGTTTTTGTTTTTTTCGTGGATGCTTAGGGATATTGGGTCTAGGCAGGGTCAGAGAGAATCCACAGGAGGGTCCAATGGGTCGACCAGCCTGAATGTGGACATTTTTGATTTTATTTTGTTTTCTGGGGTTTTCATGTGTATTCAATTGCATCATAGCTTAAAATGCATTGGTAAAGATTTATAAATTGATCTGGAGTACTTAGGTGGTCGCCTGGGGCAGAGGGGCCATGAGAGAATTTTCCTGTCTTGATTGATTGATGGATATTTGGAATGAAAGCTGCCAGACAGGTTTTTCGCTCTCACACTCCATAAAAATGTGTTCACACTCCATAAAAATTTGTCTACACAAAAATGTGTTTACTCTTCATAAATTTTGTTTTATTGCTAAAGTTACTCAAGAAGCCTGATGTAATAAAAATTGTTATTTGTCATAATCCTATTCTTTTTGTTTTCGAGACTTAATTAGTCTCGAAGGGGGGAAATATGTAGTATCTGAACAGTTTATAATTTTGGCTGACGTTTGCAAATGGTGTGTTAGATTAACTTTACTCTGCTTTGCTGAAACATCTGGAAAGCATTACTATAGGGGCCCCCTGAAACAGTGGACATAGGGATATGTGGAGGCCAGGGATTGGTCTATTCAAAACACCCATCTTATGTTACATAGGATATATACCAGGTTTTGAACAAAGGACGGAGAGAATAATCATATTTGAGATTGGGTTAGTTGTTCTCCAGATTCTGCAGAAATCTGTAAATTTACGCTGAAATCTTTTGATATAATAAACCTTTATAATCAAAGTACAGTGTCAGCGGATTCCTTGTCAACGCAGCATATCAGCATCGTTGTTCGGCCACCACAATCCGAATGGAATCATGTGATCCTTCCTTAACCCATAGGAAGTCCCACCAAGTTGACTACTTCAAAATTGTGAAAGTCCTCAATGGCGCTGCCCATGCTAAAACAGGCTTTTGGGAACTAGAGTCCTCTATCTATCTCTATGGTCAACAGCATCCTCTTCTTCTTCGTTGGGGTTTTTCTGCTGTTGGCATCCAAAGTTATTGGTGCATTACCGCTACCTACTGTGCTGGAGTGTGAGCCAGAGACAGGGAGGAACTAAATCTTACCTGCAAGCCCCACCTCGACTAACCTGTACCCCAGCACACACCCTGTATATAGCCTCGTTATTGTTATTCTATTGTGTTATTATTTATTTATTTATTTTTTACTTTAGTTTATTTAAAAAATATTTTCTTAACTCTTTTTTTTCTTATAACTGCATTGTTGGTTAAGGGCTTGTAAGTAAGCACTTCATGGTAAGGTCTACCTACAGTCGTGGTCAAAAGTTTTGAGAATGACACAAATACTAATTTTCACAAAGTCTGCTGCCTCAGTTTTGATGATGGCAATTTGCATATACTCCAGAATGTCATGAAGAGTGATTAGATGAATTGCAATTAATTGCAAAGTCCCTCTTTGCCATGAAAATGAACTTAATCCCCAAAAAACATTTCCACTTCATTTCAGCCCTGCCACAAAAGGACCAGCTGCCATCATGTCAGTGATTATCTTGTTAACACAGGTGAGAGTGTTGACGAGGACAAGGCTGGAAATCACTCTGTCATGCTGATTGAGTTAGAATAACAGACTGGAAGCTTTAAAAGGAGGGTGGTGCTTGAAATCATTGTTCTTCCTCTGTTAACCATGGTTACCTGCAAGGAAACACGTGCCGTCATCATTGCTTTGCACAAAAAGGGCTTCACAGGCAAGGATATATCTGCTAGTAAGATTGCACCTAAATCAACCATTTATCGGATCATCAAGAACTTCAAGGAGAGAGGTTCAATTGTTGTGCAGAAGGTGTCAGGGCGCCCAAGAAAGTCCAGCAAGCGCCAGGACCGTCTCCTAAAGTTGATTCAGCTGCGGGATCGAGGCATCACCAGTGCAGAGCTTGCTCAGGAATGGCAGCAGGCAGGTGTGACTGCATCTGCACGCACAGTGAGGCGAAGACTTTTGGAGGATGGCCTGGTGTCAAGAAGGGCAGCAAAGAAGCCACTTCTCTCCAGGAAAAACATCAGGGACAGACTGATATTCTGCAAAAGGTACAGGGATTGGACTGCTGAGGACTGGGGTAAAGTCATTTTCTCTGATGAATCCCCTTTCCGATTGTTTGGGGCATCTGGAAAACACCTTGTCCAGAGAAGACAAGGTGAGCGCTACCATCAGTCCTGTGTCATGCCAACAGTAAAGCATCCTGAGACCATTCATGTGTGGGGTTGCTTCTCAGCCTAGGGAGTGGGCTCACTCACAATTTTGCCTAAGAACACAGCCATGAATAAAGAATGGTACCAACACATCCTCCGAGAGCAACTTCTCCCAACCATCCAAGAACAGTTTGGTGACGACCAGTTCCTTTTCCAGCATGATGGAGCATGCTTGCCAGAAGGCAAAAGTGATAACTAAGTGGCTCGGGGAACAAAACATCGACATTTTGGGTCCATGGCCAGGAAACTCCCCAGACCTTAATCCCATTGAGAACTTGCGGTCGATCCTCAAGAGGCGGGTGGACAAACAAAAACCCACAAATTCTGACAAACTCCAAGCATTGATTATGCAAGAATGGGCTGCCATCAGTCAGGATGTGGCCCAGAAGTTAATTGACAGCATGCCAGGGTGGATTGCAGAGGTTTTGAAAAAGAAGGGTCAACACTGGAAATATTGACTCTTTGCATAAACTTAATGTAATTGTCAATAAAAGCCTTTGACACTTATTGACAATTATGCTTGTAATTATACTTCAGTATATCATAGTAACATCTGACAAAAATATCTCATAATACTGAAGCAGCAAACTTTGTGAAGACCAAAATTTGTGTCATTGTCAAAACTTTTGACCACGACTGTTGTATTCAGCGCATGTGACAAATACAATTTGATTAGATTTTGAATCGCTGTATTTGGAAGAGATGCCTGCCCATAATAATAATCTTTATTCCATTGCTCCTGCCATCTCTTCACCACCACTGTCCATATCAGGCCTTTTGCCTCTGCCTTGCTCATTGAAACCTCAACGTCCACCTTCTCACTGCTATTGGCCTGTTTAGCTGCCTCGTTCCCCTGCACCAACCACATGGGCTGGGACCCAAGTAAATATCGTCTGTATACCCATCTGTCTCACCCGGACATGGGTTTGGAGTACCTCATACAGCAGGTCTTGGCACATGCAAGGCCAACTGTACGGCCATCATCTCTGCCGTGTATCCAGCCAGGTGGTCTGTAATACGTTTCCTGACTGCCACCCCACATTCCTGCGCTACAAATGCTGACCCAGTACAACCTGTCCTTGGGTCTTTTCAACCATCTGTATAAATTGCCACAAAATCCTGATATACAGTTAACAGCGACCTCTATTGTATGGACATTGCATATGTACATTGATTCCTGACCTAAAACTGTACTCCTCCATAAATAAAATGTTGGAAGATTTAATTAAATGTTGACTGATTTGAATATAGGAGGAGGACCTATGTGTTGTACAGGTTATTATAGCTATACGTTTAAAGATCCATTCTCTCTATATGACTTCGTTTGTCCCAACTTTGTTATTGTACGTGACCTTTAATTTAGGTATGGCAACTTGGTCTCAACTTCATCCACAGGTGCAGAAATTGAGATGGCCTGTTCTCTTCTGTGTAAAAATCAAATCAAATGTTATTTATTGGTCGTGTACACATATTTTGCAGATGATATCGCAGGTGCAGCGAAATGCTTATGTTTCTAGCTCCAACAGTGCAGTAATACGAACAATACAAAACAATAGACACAAATCCCAAAAATGTAAACAAATTAATGAAGAAAAAACTGAATGAGCAATGTAAGAGTTATATTGTTGTGGTTGTTTGTCATGGTACATTATTTTAGTCCAATAGACCTAGCTATACCGATTATTACCAATCCACTTCACTTCTCTACTGCTTGACCATAACGATTTACGTGCGCGCTCCCGCGTTGCCGATGATGCTGCCACTGATGAAGATGGCGAATGTTTGGAGTATGGCGATTTACTGCAGAAGCTGATAAAGTGAATAAGAAGAGATAATTCTAAAGATAGAAAACCAACAAAAGAATACGTGCAGAATTGTGGTGAATATAAAAGCTGTTGTGGTTATGATTGGAAGGGAAATATTACCACTGAAAACCTGACAGAAGTAGAGCAGAAACCAAACAAACCACTAGTAGTTTCGGACTGCATCCTAGCTGGCTAACTAAACGCGTTAGCTAGCTACGTTAGCTAACATACCCACTAGCTAGCCAGCAATCGCTAACGTTATATAAACTGGATTTTTTTTATTACAGTTTTCCAAGGATTGGTAGCAAAATATCCATGATTTGACACAGTTTTAACTAATTTGATGCCCTACCATAGATGGAAATTCTAATTAGTGAGGGCGGGCCAGAATGGATGCGTTCATCGGTGGATGTTAATGCTACTAGTAGCTAGCTAACGGTATTGTGCCAATTAGCTAACCACTTTCCTTAGTTATCCAGCTAGCTAGCTACATTAATTAAGCAGGTTGCTAGTTAGCTTTAGTTTAGGACACATCGGGCGGGAGTCTGTGTATTGGTTCCAACCTCATAGACTCCCTGTCCCAAAGCTAGCTTGCTAAATTAGATATGTCTATCCCCACCCTGTTGTAATTTCCCAATACTACCCTGAAAGCACGTCACGTGATGAAATTGATGGAAGGTACTATTATTGTTTATCTTTGGGCCCACCTTTTAAGTGTCATCTCCCATCTTTGTCCAGGCACAGAAAGAAAGAATGTCCCGCTCTTCAGACAGTGACGATGGATACTTTGTTGCCATGGATACAGAGGAAGATGGATCAGGGCCTGTTGGAATGGCACAGCGGGAAGATGAGAAGGTGGGGACCAGCAGAGGAGAGAGGGACCTAGAAGGATGCAGTGAGGGTGAGGGGACAATGGTGGAGCTGCCAGAGGAAGTCCTAGAATACATCCTGTCCTTCCTCTCACCTTACCAGGAGCACAAGACCGCTGCACTGGTGTGTAAACAGTGGTATCGCCTCATTAAAGGTATGTCTCTCTACTGACGACACAACAACCACCACCACCATTCTAAACCCAAGTAGTAGTGCTGAGCGAATAACCCAATTAAAAAATGTTTGGTTATCAAACAACTCATTGATATATATTTTATTTGTTTGTGAGCCCCACGAGCCGTTTCTCTAGAGAGAATCAAATAATTCATGAGAGAAATCAAGTCGAGAACTATGTGGGACGCTGGCCTCCCGATTGGCGCAATGGTCTAAGGCACTGCACCACGACCTACGACCTGAGGTTCAATCCCAGGCTGTGTCACAGCCGGCCGTGACCGGGAGCCCGATAGGGCTGCGCACAATAGGTCCACCGCCGTCCAGGTTAGGAGAGGGTTTGGCCGGGTGGCTTTCCTTGGCTCATTGCACTCTAGCTACTCATTGTGGAGGGCCGGGCGCCTGCAAGCTGTCGTCGGTCGAATGTTGTTTCCTCCGAAACATTGGTGCGGCTGACATCCGGGTTAAGCGAGCAGTGTGTTAAGAAGCAGTGCGGCTTGGCTGGTCATGTTTCGGAGGACACGTCTCGACATTCGCCTCTCCCGACCCCGTTGCGGAGTTGCAGCGATGAGACAAGATCGTAACTACCAATTGGATTTAAAAAAAATTGAGGGATAAAAATGGGATTAAAAAATGAACTATACTTAACAAAAAATATAAACGCAACATGCATACATACAGTTCATATAAGGAAATGTGTCAATTGAAATAAATTAATTAGACCCTAATCTAATGATTTCACATGACTGGGAATACAGATATGCATCTGTTGGTCACAGATACTTAAAAAATGTAGGGGCGTGGATCAGAAAACCAGTCAGTATCTGGTGTGACCACCATTTGCCTCATGCAGCGCGACACATCTCCTTCACATAGAGTTGATTGTGGCCTGTGGAATGTCCCACTCCTCTTCAATGGTTGTGCGAAATTGCTGGATATTGGCGGGAATGGAAAACACACTGTCGTTTACGTCGATCCAGAGCATCCCAAACATGCTCAATGGTTGACGTCTGGTGACATGCTTTCATTCAAGGACAGTCTCGCAAAAATATGCATTCTTGTGTTCTTACTACGTGCTATTCAAAGTGCTCTGAACAAATTTAAGGGAATCGTTCACAAACATTGACACATTCTGAGATCCGATGACAGTATTGGTAATGTGTTTTTTCGGACCCTCCCTTGGTCGTGTTCTCACGGGGCAGAAATCTGAGATCAAGTGGTAAACACTGTGATTTACCACCCCAAAATACCCCCGCACGACATCTCCTTGCGCCCCATCCGGATGGAAACTACAAGTAATGGCTGCGCTCAATACAATAGCGTTTACAAATGTAGATCCTTAAAACACCTCCAAACAGGGAAACAGATCAATCAAAGGTGTTATCACATGCTCAAATAAGGCAGTTATTTATTTTATAACTTGTCCTTGTGTAAAAAAGTATGTGGGCAAAGCACAAACTAAAAGTAAGAATCTCTGAGCATCATAGCACCATTAGGTGCAAAAACTTGACGGACCCAGTTGCGGCCCACTTTTTGGAAGCGAACCACTCTATTTGTCCCTTCGCTTTATTGGCATCGAACACGTCACCCTCCTTAGGAGAGGGGGGGTGACTTTGACAATTTATTGTTAAAACGAGAGGCCGTCTGAATCTTTAATTTAAGGACCCTTGCTCCCTTCGGTTTGATCTGAAGCCATGCTTGTGATTATTGTGTTTTTACTATCCATTGTAAATAATGTTTGGAGGCCTATGTAGTCAAATGGTATCTCTGATCATATGTAATCCATTCATGCTTTTTTATATGTTCTATTTATATGTAAATCGATCCAATGAAATCAAGCCACAGCCGGCCATGATTACAGACACCCATGTGTGTCCTTTCAAACTCTATATAAACTATTGACCCGCAATGTTTGTCATTATACCCTGATGAAAGCAGCTTGACTGTCAAAATGTTATTAAATTATTGCATTCGAGCTCCTAGAGTGTGCAGCGCTCATTTTCTTTTTCCAGTGTTCTACTCCGCTAGCCATCACCTCGCCTAACCTGGTGTGCATTTCTTCTGCCTCCGGAAAGCAGACTGAATCAGGTTTTCCTCTAGGATTTTGCATGTGCTTAGCTCCATTCCATTTATTTTTTATCCTGAAAAACTCCCCAGTCCTTAACGATTACAAGCATACCCATAACCAGGGCTTGCGACTAACTTTTTCGTCACTGTCCCGAAGTGCAATTTCAACTATCCCAAACTGAAAATACTTGTTTTTTAAAATGTTTTGATATGCCACCATGGGTCATTTGCAGTGCTTTTAAAGTAATTGGTGTTTTTCTGAGACAGATACAGTCTATATTACATAAACGTAATTTGTTAATGAAATCAGACAAACATCCATTACATTATTAATCATTCTAATTTATTAATTGAACATGCTAACCACATGTATACAATAATATATATAAGAGAGAACAATGTTATTGTGAACTGGTTACTGAATAGACTTAAGTTAGAGACATTCCATTCCACCACCAGCTGCCCCATTAAACAACATAACGATATACAATAAAGAACGTGTGTGTTCCCCAGCCTTCAATTTCTCTGCTTCACCCTCCCTTTTCAGGTACTGAAGAATGGTCGCCTTGACCTTTTTGAGCGCCACCACTTGCTAACGGCCAGGTCCTAAAATGTACTTTTTGGTACATCAGCCACTGTGGCAGGTAGATTTAAAAATCTACCAGCCACTCAGATTTCTTACCAGACAAAAATAATGTTTGGCTAAAATTACACCAACAAAACACAAAAAAACAGATGAGCATGCTTTGCAATGTTTCTAAATCAATAAATGTATTACTAGTAAGGAGCAATGTGGTATATTGTTTAATTACATTTTTTGTGACCTGAGACTTTTAACCAGAATATCACAGATGAGACAAAACATTTCACCTGCCTCTTTAAGGGCGGGAGGTTACCTTGATAATGCGACTCGAGTCATGTTTGTGCCTGGAGATTGGGAGTCTGACTAGTATCCACGTTGCTTCTCTTCCCTAGCAGTTGAAACTCAAACATTGAAAAACAACCTAGCTTGTGAACAAAACAATGTAAATAGCCAAGGAACACAAGGACAAAGTCTCACTTCAGTAGACTTCCGTTTCAAATTAATTAAACAAACTTTTATGCGCTTCTAAAAATGAATCTGTCACTCAGCTCTTCACATGCACACGCACAGCCCCCAGCCAGGCAGTGTTGCAGCACGAGGCAGAAATACTTTGCACATTTTACAGTGTGGATTCGGTTCAGGTCAGGGAGATCCAACCATATTCTCTAGAATACCATAGTAGCTAGTCATAGCCTACAGACAATGCAAATGCCGCAGCAACTAACCTAAATAATTAAATATGCTGTACTTAGCCAGCCGTATCATTGTTTGAAACCTGGACATTTTACTTAGCCTATCTTACCTTGCTTTTAATAACCTGCAGCCAAAATCCGACCATAGAATAAAAGCGAAGATTTCCTGATATGCCATTGCAACCAGCAAGTCAGTAAGGCACAATCATATTGTTGCATCTTCAGATATTCCCTCTTTCTAAGTTTCTACTATTAGGCTGTATATCCATCTGTCGCATTATAAAAACCTCTAGCATCAGGTGCGCGTTTGAGAATGGTGTTATCCCGTGATAGCATTTTGGAACATTCAGGCATATGGCCGAGACGAGTAAACACATTGCTGCGCTTGTAATGTGAATTATTTATAGTTTATCAACTTTTAAGCTAAATGTTGTGATCTGTTTCATCAGCCTCATCTTTGTGTTTAAACATTTCAGTAATGAACCACTGTTGTAAGCATTTTATATTTTTCTGGCTTATCGTCCCGCAACTGTCCCAACGTCTGTTTTGAACCATTCCAGACATATTTTTTATTGTACCCGGGACGACGGGACACCCTTAATTCCGAGCCCTGCTCATAACATGACGCAGCCACCGCTATGCTTGAAAATATGGAGAGTGGTACTCAGTAATGTGTTGTATTGGATTAGCCCCAAACATAACACTTTGTATTCAGGACAAAAAGTTAATTGCTTTGCCATACTTTTTGCAGTATTACTTATTGCATTGTTGCAAACAGGATGCATGTTTTGGAATATTTTGTATTCTGTACAGGCTTGCTTCCTTTTCACTCTGTCAATTAAGTTAGTATTGTGGAGTAACTACAATGTTGTTGATCCATCCTCAGTTTTCTCCTATCACAGCCATTGCACTCTGTAACTGTTTTAAAGTCACCATTGGCCTCAGGGTGAAATTCCTGAGGGGTTTCCTTCCTCTCCGGCAACTGAGTTAGGAACTACGCCTGTGTCTTTGTAGTGACTGGGTGTGTTGATACACCATCCAAAGTGTAATAACTTCCATGCTCTAAGGGATATTCAAAGTCTGTTTTTTATTTTTTTACCCATCTACCAATAGGTGCCCTTCTTTGCAAGGCATTGGAAAACCTCCCTGGTCTTCGTGGTTGAATCTGTGTTTGAAATTCACTGCTCGACTGAGGGACCTTACAGATAATTGTATGTGTGGGGTCATTCAAAAATCATGTTAAAAACTATAATTGCACACAGAGTGAGTCCATGCAACTTATTATGTGGCTTGTTAAGCAACTGTTTACGCCTGAACTTATTTAGGCTTGCCATAACCAAGGGGTAGAAGACTTATTGACTCAAAACATTTCAGCTTTTCATTTTTTATTAATTAGTTTATTATTTTTTTATCCGAAAACATAATTCCACTTTGACATTATGGGGTGTTGTGTGTGTGTGTAGGCCAGTAACAAAACATCTCAAATTAATCCATTTTAAATTCAGGCTGTAACACAACAAAGTGGAAAAAGTCAACGGGTGTAAATTCTTTCTGAAGGCACTGTACACATAGACTTCATGAGAGAGGAATGTACACCACAACGATGAGAGAGGGGGATAGAGACAGTTGGTGAAAGTATTGGTAGCACACAGAGATAACGTTGTCTGGCTGCTACTGCCTGAACAGAGATGAGATTATGACTTTAAGGAATTAAAAATAATAGTCATCAAATAAAACTAAGTAATATTCACAACTTAAATATTTAATTATTTCATAGTAATTTCCTATTTTTCTATTGATGTCTACCCAATGTTGACCTGACGGAGACAATGGAATATTTTCAATGTTTTGGTAATTGAATGTTCACAATTTTGGGCTTTGGAATTTCCATTAAAAAGCTCTGTCATTTTAATGTCATTATTTCATTATGCATTTAATGTAAAATAAATATATTCAGAAATCGTGATTATTTTTGTAATAATTGAACCGAAACCAAACCGACCTCAAAAAGCACTAATCACTCAGCACTACCAAGAAGGCAACAGCATGCCATTATGCTGCATTTTGAGACACCCAAGTGGAAACCCAAACTAATAACCACTCAGCTGTTTGACTGAAGTGGTTATTTTTTACAATAGGTGAAGTAACGTTTATCCCGTTTTCAGATGGAACACTGAGTCAACCCATGACAATGTTTTCTTTCAAAAACAGTTATAAGATACTGACGTGTTACTTATTATGTTGCTTTTATTGTGGCTGTGACTCACATAAAACCATAGTAGTCACTCACTCACCTCATCTCCAATCTCTTTCTCCCCCCAGGTGTTGCATATCAGTGTTACCATGGTTTTCTGCGGGCTGTCCAGGAGGGAGATATTCAGTGGGAGAGTCGTACATACCCATATCCTGGAACACCCATCACGCAACGCTTCTCACACAGTCAGTATACAACATATACATATATACCACCGCTTTGTTGAATTGAGTTGATTGGCCATGGTAGAAGCTGGATAATTAACTCCAGGCTGTGCAGTCTAAGTATTAACTCCAAAATAAGGCCATATAAACACATTGGGTTTATTTTGGACAGATTTTGGCGAGATTAAAACCTCTCCCTTCGCCTCTTCCTCTGTTTACACACACACACACGCCAACAAAGTTGAGAGAACACTTCTTCCTCTCTGACAAGTGGTTTCAACTCGCTATTTGCGGTTTGGTCCAACATAATTTTACTGTAATAGAGGAGAAGATAACCTTTCTAATGAAATCCTTTTTATGTCTCAACTCCTTAAATTGCATGCAGAACAGACACTACTAAAACAGGAGTGTCAAACATTGATTCTGGAAAATGAATGCTCAGTTTGCCACATGCGGCATGGCGGTACCATGTACCGCTAGCAGCATTTTAGCCAAAGACTGTTATACTAGTCTGTGTTTTATTAATGTGCAATAAGCATAAAACTCAATTATATAAGGAGTTGGCAACTCTTTCTCATTCTGAGAAATAAGGTAGGCCACTTGACAGGCTAGCATGCTGTTCAAACAGTTACGGACAGAAGGGTGTATTCATAACAATTCAACTGTTGTGCCTTGATAGCTAGCAAATAGATCCAAGTTGGTTCAACTTTAAATATAAAGATTAGCTGGCTACTCACTAGCACGTGAGATTGTTTGAGACCTTGTGTTAATTTTCTATAATGTCTGCTACAAGAAGTTAGTCATTCTTAGTGAATGTGCATTATTCACAATTCTTTTTAAATTTGTAACAAAAGTGGCATTTTCATAGAAATACCTGAAAGCCAGATCAGTGGTTATTGCAAAAAAAAGCAGGTTAAACTATTTTGATAAAGTCATTTAATTATTAGTGGTGCTTATACACTGAGTGTACAAAACATTAAGAACACCTTCCTTTGCCCTCAGAACAGACTCAATTTGTCGGGGCATGGACTCTGCAAGGTGTCAAACACCTTGACTGCAATGCTTCCAACAGTTGTGTTAAGTTGGCTGGATATCCTTTAGGGGGTGGACCATTCTTGATACACACTGTAAACTGTTGAGTGTGAAAAACCCAGCAGCGTTGCAGTTCTTGACACAAACCTGTGCGCCTAGCCCCTACTACCATACCTGTTCAAAGGCACACTTCAATCTTTTGCCAATTCACCCTCTGAATGACACACATACACAATGTCTCAATTGTCTTAAGGCTTAAAAATCCTTTAACCTGTCTCCTCCCCTTCATCTACACTGATTTGAAGTGGATTTAACAAGTGACATTAATAAGGGATCATAGCTTTCACCTGGATTCACCTGGTCAGTCTGTCATGGAAATATGTTCTTAATGTTTTGTACACTCAATGCATTTAGCCTTATTTCACATGCACTGAATTCATTTGATTATTGCTTACTGTTTGAAATGCAGTGTATTTGACCTTTAATTGTACATCAAAGCTTATTTAGAGAAAACATTAAAGTCAATGCATATCGTGAATCGCCCATAAGTTCGAAAACAAGCGATGTTGCAGTCTAGATGTTGATGGAATAAAGTTTATGATAGCCATAACTGAGTCCATGGTGTTGTTTAACTCACCGCTGAGTTAAGTGCAAAGCAAACTCTGGTGTATCAGGCAGTGTAGTGATCTCATCTGCGGTGAAGGAGCCAATAGGCGGGCAGACTGACCCTGTACCCCTGTTAGCAGCTCTGATTGACTGTAACTGGTATGTTGGGTGATATTGATTGACATTTACATTTACATTTTAGTCATTTAGCAGACGCTCTTATCCAGAGCGACTTACAGGAGCAATTAGGGTTAAGTGCCTTGCTCAAGGGCACATCGACAGATTTTTCACATAATCGGCTCGGGGATTAGAACCAGCGACCTTTCGGTTACTGGCACAACGCTCTAAACTACTAAGCTACAGCACTTAATGGGCGGGACTACAGGAAAACAGATTCTCCCATTGGAGAACATTGAACGAGGGCTCCTTTTGGCACTAAACGTTAGATTTTTGCGAGGATTTATTATTATTATAAAAAAAAATTAAATTAATGTTCAGAATTGATCAAAGGGACAGTCTAAATGTATAAACGGGCCGGATCTGGCCCACGGGCTGCCAGTTAAATATCCCTGGTGTAAGTCATTGTGACTCAAACCATGTATGTGTGTGTTGCAGGTGCATGCTACTACGACTCCAACCAGTCCATGTATGTGTTTGGGGGCTGCACTCAGAGTAGTTGCAACGCTGCCTTCAACGACCTATGGAGACTTGACCTCAACAGCAAGGAGTGGATCCGCCCTTTAGCCTCAGGTAAGAAATCATTCCTTGAGGTGGATGCTGCCTACTTGTAACAAGGAAAGTGAAAATAACGTTGCTTGATGGCTTCGTGTGCTTTACAAAATATGAAAACATGTATTGTTTTTGTAATTTTTTACTCTGCTTGCAGATGTAATTTGTCATGTTTAAATTGACTTCCAACCTGTGTATGCATGACATAGAAGTATGTACAGTGCATTTGGAAATTATTTAGACCCCTTCCCTTTTTCCATATTTTGTTACGTTACAGCCTTATTCTAAAATGGATTAAATAAATATAAATTCTCATTGATCTACACATAATACCCCATAATGACAAAGCGAAAACAGGTTTTGAGAAATGTACATAAAAAGATACCTTTACATAAGATTCAGAACCTTTGCTATGAGACTCGAAATTAAGCTCAGATGCATCCTGTTTCCATTGATCAACTTGATTGGAGTTCACCTGTGGTAAATTCAATTGATTGGACATGATTTGGAAAGGCACACACCTGTCTATATAAGTTCCCACAGTTGACAGTGCATGTCAGAGCAAAAACCAACCCATGAGGTCGAAGGAATTGTCTGTAGAGCTCCGAGACAGGATTGTGTCGAGGCACAGATCTGGGGAAGGGTACCAAAAAATGTCTGCGCTATTGAAGGTCCCCAAGAACACAGTGGCCTCCATCATTCTTAAATGGAAGAAGTTTGGAACCACCAAGACTCTCCCTAGAGCTAGCTGCCCGGCCAAACTGAGCAATCGGGGGAGAAGGGCCTTGGTCAGGGAGGTGACCAAGAACCTGATGGTCACTCTGACAGAGCTTCAGAGTTCCTCTGTGGAGATGAGAGAACCTTCCAGAAGGACAACCATCTCTGCAGCACTCCACCAATCAGGCCTTTATGGTAGAGTGGCCAGGCGGAACCACTCCTCACAGCCCGCTTGGAGTTTGCCAAAAGGCACCTAAAGGACTCTCAGACCATGAGAATCAAGATTCTCTGGTCTGATGAAACCAAGATTGAACTCTTTGGCCTGAATGCCAAGCGTCATGTCTGGAGGAAACCTGGCACCATCCCTACGGTGAAGCATGGTGGTGGCAGCATCATGCTGTGGGGATGTTTTTCAGCGGCAGGGACTGGGAGACTAGTCATGATCGAGGGGAAAGACGAACGGAGCAAAGTACAGAGAGATCCTTGATGAAAACCTGCTCCAGAGCACTCAGGACCTCAGACTGGGGCGAAGGTTCACCTTCCAACTGGACAACGAACCTAAGCACACAGCCAAGACAACGCAGGAGTGGCTTTGGGACAAGTCTCAATGTCCTTGAGTGGCCCAGCCAGAGCCCGGACTTGAACCCGATCGAACATCTCTGGAGAGATCTGAGAATAGCTGTGCAGCGACGCTCCTATCCAACCTGACAGAGCTTGAGAGGATCTGCAGAGAAGAAAAGGAGAAACTCCCCAAATACAGGTCTGCCAAGCTTGTAGTGTCATACCCAAGAAGACTCGTGACTGTAATCGCTGCCAAAGGTGCTTCAACAAAATACTGAGTATAGGGCCTGAATACTTTTTATTTTGAATACATTTGCAAAAATTTCTAAAAATCTGTTTTTGCTTTGTAATTATGGGGTATTGATGAGGGGGCAAAATAATTTAATACATTTTAGAATAAGGCTGTAACGTAACAAAATGTGGAAAAAGTCAAGTGGTCTGAATACTTTCCGAATGCACTGTATGAAGACTCATTCTTTGTCCTTTTGCCCACATAGGCTCCTATCCGTCTCCTAAAGCGGGTGCTACCCTGGTGATGTACAATGACCTGCTGGTGCTGTTTGGTGGATGGACTCGCCCTAGCCCCTACCCACTACATCAGCCTGAGAGGTTCTTTGACGAGATCCACACATACTCCCCCTCCAAAAACTGGTAAGCGGAAGAGACCAGGTGGTTTGGAGATAGGCCTAGACCCAGTGGATGAATTAACTCCTTTAGCCGTAAGTGTCATCACACGTTGTCTACTGTTCACTCTCATACAGGCTGATAGTCAGTGTGCTATTACTCATGACAATTCCTTCTGTGTAGAGACTGAAGACCCATAGCCCCACAATAGTATGGCATTGGTTGAAGCTCAACGATAAATTCAAATCTCCATTCCATTATATGTAAGCCAAATTTGCAAATCAACTTGATTGGAGGTACACGACACACTCCCTGCCTCTCGTCATGAGCCGTCCAGCCGTCACCGAGAACCACATACCAGATTGTTAACAGGGTTGTTAGCAATTTAGTTTTCAGAGTTATTTTCTGTGCCCATCTAGCTCAAATTCTAGATGTCGGATTAAAACAAGACTATATTGTCCATAAAGTTACAATTGGACTTAAAACATTTCGGATTGACTAAGTGTGTAGGTGCAACAGTTTTTATTAAATGTATATGCTAACTTCTGTCCATTAAGATCCAAACGATGTGCTACCTTTTTTTGTAGCACTAGCTAGCTATTCCATAGTCCAAGCTACGCTAAGAGCTAGCCACATTTTACTGTCAGACAGGACACAACTCGCACTGTAGCTGAGAAAACAAATTGCTAGCCACATGTAGCTAGCTAGCTATGTTAAATCCCCAATGCACATTTAAACAGAGCTTCGCTTGTGCATTATAGTGTGCAAATGCATGCTTGCTAGTATCAGAAGAACTCACCAGTTTCGAACATCCAGAATCAATTCCAGTACGCTCCTTCTCCTGTCTTCTTGAGATTTGAATCCAAATGTGTGCTGATCAACAGTGCCAAACTAACAACTCTGATTGTATTTACAGTGCCGATATGGATGTTGGACTAGCCCATGTGTTGGATATTTGTCAACAGCTAATGCCCCACCAAACCCAGATTATATAATTGTATAGGATGCATAATTGTGTAGGATGCATAAAATCTTTGTATAGGATGCTTTAGGCTAGAAACAAGCTGTAAAAGGCACAAGAAAGACGCGGCTCTGGTATACATGGGGATATCTTTTAGTCTCTATGGCTGAGTTATACAACCTTCAAAAGTCAATGACTTAAAACCGTTTTATTTTACACAGAACAAAAATATAAACGCAACATGCAACAATTTCAAAGATTTGACTGATTACAGTTCATATAAGGAAATCAGTCAATTGAAATAAATTCATTAGGCCCTAATCTATGGATTTTACATGACTGGGAATTCAGATACCTTCAAAAAAAAAGGTAGGGCGTGGATCAGAAAACAAGTCATTATCTGGTGTGACCACCATTTGCCTCATGCAGCGCGACACATCTCTTTCGCATAGAGGCTGTTGATTGTGGCCTGGGGTATGTTGTCCCACTCCTCTTCAATGGCTGTGCAAAGTTGCTGGATATTGGCGGGAACTGGAACATGCCGTTGTACACGTCGATACAGAGCAACTCAATAGGTGACATGTCAGGTGAGTATGCAGGCCATGGAAGGACTGGGACATTTTCAGCTTCCAGGAATTGTGTACAGATCCTTGCGACATGGAATCGCGCTTTATCATGCTGAAACATGAGTTGATGGCGGCAGATCAATGGCACGACAATGGGCTGTCATTCAAATTGCCATTGATAAAATGCAATTGTGTTCGTTGTCTGTAGCTTATGCCTGCCCGTACCATAACCCCACCGCCAAAATTGGGCACTCTGTTCACAACGTTGACATCAGCAAACCGCTCGCCCACACAACACCATACACACTGTCTGCCATCTGCCCAGTACAGTTGAAACCAGGATTCATCAGTGAAGAGCACACTTCTCCAGCGTGCCAGTGGCCATCGAAGGTGAGCATTTGCCCACTGAAGTCGGTTACGACGCCGAACTGCAGTCAGGTCAAGACCCTGGTGAGGACGACAGGCACGTAGATGAGCTTCCCTGAGACGGTTTCTGACAGTTTGTGCAGAAATTCTTCAGTTGTGCAAACCCACAACGGGTGCCTGGTCTCAGACGATCCTGCAGGTGAAGAAGCCAGATGTGGAGGTCCTGGGCGTGGTTACACGTGGTTGTGAGGCCGGTTGGACGTACTGCCAAATTCTCTTAAAACGACTTTGGAGGCGGCTTATGATAGAGAAATTAACATTAAATTATCTGGCAACAGCTCTGGTGGACATTCCTGAGGTCAGCATGCCAATTGTACGCTCCCTCAAAACTGTGGCGTTGTGTGACAAAACTGCACATTTTAGAGTGGCCTTTTATTGTCCCCAGCACAAGGTGCACCTGTGTAATGATCATGCTGTTTAATCAGCTTCTAGATATGCCGCACTTGTCAGGTGGATGGCAAAGGAGAAATGCTCACTAACAGGGATGTAAACAAATTTGTGTACACAAGTTTTGAGAAAAGCTTTTTGTGTGTATGGAACATTTCAGGGATATTTTATTTCAGCTCATGAAACATGGGACCAACACTTTACATGTTGCATTTACATTTTTGTTCAATATACATTGTTTTTAAGTGAGAAGTAGGTATTGGTCTGAAAAAGAAAAAGAAAGGAAATTCACATGAGCACCACAATGCCTACTCCACCCATGCTTTTCAGCACACAACTTTGACCTACTACACTATGTTGGTCTGTTGTGCTTCGGAAAGTATTTAGACCCCTTGACTTTTTCCACATTTTGTTACGTTACAGCCTTATTCTAAAATGTATTAAATGCATTTTTTTCTCATCAATCTACGCACAATGCATTTACATTTACATTTTAGTCATTTAGCAGACGCTCTTATCCAGAGCGACTTACAGTTAGTGAGTGCATACATTTACCCATAATGACAGTGAAAACAGGTTTTAAGAATTTTTTGCAAATGTATGAAAACTTAACAGAAATACCTTATTTACATAAGTATTCAGACCCTTTGCTATGAGACTCGAAATTGAGCTCAGGTGCAAATAAATGTGATATTTCCGTTTTTTTATTTTTAATACATTTGCAAAAAAAAATAACAGTTTTTGCTTTGTCGTTATGGGGTATTGTGTGTAGATTGATGGGGGAAAAACAATTTAATCCATTTTACAATAAGGCTATAACATAACAAAGTGGAAAAAATCAAGGGGTCTGAATACTTTCCGAATGCACTGTTGCTTAGAATGTGGAATAACGTTGTGGGGCTCATGAATCTCCTTTCTTTTTCGGCTTCAGACCAATGCCTACTCGCTTAACTTTGGTTTTAGTTTTTAATTATACTTATAGCCTTACCTAGCCATCAGTGCTTGGTCTTTTATCACTTTCCCCTCATCTAGCTAAGCCGTAAACTTCTCCCTGTGCCCTCTCAGGTGGAACTGCATCGTGACAACCCAAGGACCCCTGCCCATGGCCGGTCACTCCTCCTCCGTCATAGGGAGCGCCATGGTGGTGTTTGGAGGATCGCTAGGGGCACGCCAAATGTATGTCATTACTTTGAGGAGCTTTTACCTTTGCGTCTTCCTGCACATTTTACTATACTGTGCCAAACCGCTCGCTACAATGGGACAACCTGACACACATCAGTTAAAACACTTTGAATGAATACAGTTGTGGTGTAACTAGACAATGTAGAAAGGTTGTAGTGTGAATGTCTTTTAAGTAAAGGAAAATAATGTCATTACAAACTGTCAGTTTTGCAATTTTGATAGTTGTCTGTAAATCTGTCACTGTGTGTATTTTTGTCCCACCGTGTCCCCCTGCTCGCCATTGGTCCCTAATCAGGAGTAACGAGGTGTGGGTTCTGGATCTGGAGCAGTGGTCCTGGTCCAAGCCCACCATCACCGGCCCATCCCCCCACCCACGAGGAGGCCAGTCTCAGGTCAGGATGACGTTTTTCTTCACACCTTCTCCCCTCAATACCTCCATCACCCTCTACACATCTCAATTCCTGCATCTCCACTACACACCGTCCATACCCCCATCATGCAGTATTTCTGATTTATTTTGTAAATATCTGTGTGTTTTTACAGGGAATAAAGTTACCTTTTTGTGTCTTGTATAGATGTTTATATGTTTTTAAATGTATATTCTCCTATCTCACAGATTGTGATTGACAACGAGACTCTTCTTATTCTGGGAGGCTGTGGAGGCCCTAATGCGGTGAGAACCTGTGTTCTCCAGTGGAAGGCAGCATTATTATTTTCCAATGCGTAAAGAGCTCTGTCCTCTTGTTTTGCTGTTTGTGACTCTGCACCTCCCCTCTCTCTCATGTCCCTGCTAGCTGCTGAAGGATGCCTGGCTCCTGAACATGGGTGCTCCACCCTGGACATGGCAGCAGCTGAGGGTGGAGAACGACGACCATGGAGCCCCAGAGCTGTGGTGCCACCCTGCCTGCAGGGTATGTGTGGCTCTCTGTTTGTCATCTATCCCCAGTCTCACTGCGCTAAACACTGTTGGGATGTTTGTTTTGCAGGTTTTCTACTTTCAACTCAACTTCCTTCATTATTTGTTTTCTGTCTGTCCATCTCGCGCTCTCTCCAGGTTGGACAGTGTGTGGTGGTATTCTCCCAGGCTCCGTCTGGCCGTGCGCCGCTCAGCCCCAGCCTGAACTCTCGGCCCTCCCCCATCAGCGCCTCTCCCGGCCCCCTGGGCCCAGAGCCCCCCTCACTGCGCTCCCAGTCCCCTGTGAGGAGCGGCGCCGCCGGGGTCGTCCTGGGGGCCGTTGAGGAGGCTCCCTGTGTGAACGGCCGCTGGGGAACACTGAGACCACGTCCCTCGGCCAGAGGGGGTGCCAGAGAGGGTAGCCCCGGCTCCTCCTCTCAGCAGCCATCCCCCTCCCAGGGGCCTGACAGCCCGCCTCTGCCCTCCCTCCATCCACTACTCAACGGCTCATCCCCATCTCCCCGGACCAGCCCTGCCCAAGCTGCCTCCCCGCCTTCTTGCCCCCCTGTCTCCTCGGACTACGGCTGGGAGTCTCCCCCCTCTGCCACCCACCCCCTTTCTGCTGAGGTATCCAGCACTAATGGCGTGCACACGCCTGCCCCTGGCTCCCCACGCACTCCCCCGGGGGCCGTGTCCCCCGCAGCTCTGAGACGAGGCCTGGAGGCTGTCAAAAACCTGTCATCTTCATTATCATCAAACCCCTTGTCCCAAGGAGCTGCTTCAGGAGGAAGTGGAAGTGGGGGAGGAGTGGCTTCAGCGGGAACACCCCCCTCCTCCTCTTCCAGCCCGCCACAGGCTGCTACTGCCGGGACTGATGGACACTCCATCCCGCCTATCGCACGGCGGCTTGGCCACCACCCGCCCCAGAGCCTGAACGTGGGAAAGCCCCTGTACCAGTCGCTCAATTGCAAGCCAATGCAGATGTATGTTCTGGACGTGTCCCAAGCCAAAGCAGCCGGTCTCGTCTCCTGGAGGGTTTACGGGAACGGCACCCCCGCCGCCGTCACAGGCCCCCCCGAGACCAGCCTCCACACAGTGGTCCAGGGTAGGGGCGAGCTCATCATATTCGGGGGCTTGATGGACAAGAAGCAGAACGTGAAGTACTACCCTAAAACCAACGCCTTGTACTTTGTGCGTGCTAAGAGGTAATGCAGCGACGGACGGGTTTGTGAGTGACGCCAGAGAGTGTTGCTAGGTAACGGACGATCAATCCATCCTGACCCATACAAGGGAAGTAAAACAAGGCCTTTTTCCTCTACCGCAGAGGATCATGGGAAAAGAACGTGTCACACTAATTCTTGACGTTCCTCTTCCCTCTCACACTAACTTCTCTCCATCTATTTCTCTCTCTACCCCCTCCCCCTCTTCCTATCGCATAACTTCAAAGAAGATAACATTTCAGACAGTGCATTTAAAAGACACTTGAGGACGTTGTTGCTATAATGGTGACGGTTGGATGAATGGGCATCCTGACCTCCCAACACCTGCAGTGTGTGTGTGTGAGTGACAAAGGTTGGTCAAATGGCCTGAGTGGACAGCAGTTTATCCCAAAAGATGTAGACAGTTTCTGTTCCTCTTCAGTCACCCCGCTTTGAACTTACTGAGAGAAAAGAAAATGGAACTAGCCTTGTGCTTACAAGGGCGCAACAGTGGACGACTGACTACCTTGCTTTTTTATCACTCTTTCAGCCTGCGTTGTTTACATTGAAAACTGCGTGAGTGTGTGTAATAGCGTGTATGTTGATGTGTGTGTGTAATAGCGTGTATGTTGATGTGAGTGTGTGTAATAGCGTGTATGTTGATGTGTGTGTGTGTAATAGCGTGTATGTTGATGTGTGTGTGTGTAATAGCGTGTATGTTGATGTGAGTGTGTGTAATAGCGTGTATGTTGATGTGAGTGTGTGTAATAGTGTGTATGTTGATGTGTGTGAGTGTAATAGCGTGTATGTTGATGTGAGTGTGTGTAATAGTGTGTATGTTGATGTGAGTGTGTGTAATAGCGTGTATGTTGATGTGTGTGAGTGTGGTGTAAATGCTATTGTATGTTGATTGTTGTTTAGGGGGGGCTGGGGAGAGTGAGGAATGTTGCAATGTACTGTGTAAGGATAGGAAAACAATAAAGACTTCCATGTCTTAACTGTCAGGTTTGGTTTTATGTTTTATTTATTGTTGATTCATTTGACTGGTCATGTATGCTAGCAGTTATTGATGCGTTCTTGACTGGTTACAGGTCTAAATCTGCCATTTATTGTAAGAATGAAAACCACCTCACAGCTTTTGTATAGGAGTTTAGCTTCTTTTTTACACGAGTGCACTCCTGCTCTTTTCACAATCTATGCACCAATGGTCTGGTTGTGATGACATCACCTGTCATCACCTGGTCCTCTGTAGCTCAATTGGTAGAGCATGGCGCTTGTAACGCCAGGGTAGTGGGTTCGATCCCCAGGACCACCCATACGTAAAAATTTATGCACACATGTCTGTAAGTCGCTTTGGATAAAAGCATCTGCTAAATGGCATATTATATTATTATTATTATATTAAGAATAGTCATTGAAACTAGTGGTGAGCGTTTGAGGGGGTTTCATCACAAATAGCCTAACATTTAATACTGATGGGAATGCACACAGTGCTGATAAAAGGAAGATATTGATTTTTATCTTGGCACTAGATGAGTGTTGTAGTTCTTAGACACATTCATCAACCTTCAGTGGAGCGGCTAAGCTGATTTGTGTCCTGAAAGTATTTAGATACTGGGCCAACACATATTTGGCTCCTGGGGGACGTGGCACCCGTCTTACAAAATAACGGTTATAAATAAAAGTAAAATGACAGACGAATGACAGGAACGACTCCTGGGTCAATTTCCTGATATTCAGGCCAAAAACAAAGGATGGGATGTTCTGATGGTACACTATTGGTACTGCACTAGCTAAAGTCTAGGCCTCTAGTCGCCCCAGTGGTTATAGCCATAATCAAATGAATGTGAATGGGAAACACAAAAAACGAACACATTGGCATTAAAAGAGCCCTTGGCAAGAATGTAGACATTTTTAAACAAAAGCTATGTTCTTAAAGAGACAGTTTGATTACAATACAATAACTACTAAATCATCCATTGCAGCATTTCCCAATTGTCAAGGTCAGTCCCACATGAAAAAAATACTACAGTTTACTATAGAATACTACAGTACTTACTATATAATTCTGTAGTATACTGTAGAATACTACACTACACACTGTAGTATCGCTCGATCATGTGTAGCACTTACTATAGAATGTTTTAGTATACTATAGTAAATAGTACAGTATTATCCGAATAAAAAAATAGTAAATACTACAGTAATGTCCGCAAAAACATTTTTTAACTATAGTAAATACTGCCGTATTTAATTACCATATACCCTGCCCATTCCCTCCCCCATATCCCAATTTGTGCCACCCATAAGTGAGAAACATACATGCCATGTATAGATCATGTGTTCTATATAGGTTATAGAAAAGAGCAGACGCGCTGAACTATCCGTTCAGACCCCAGTCCTATCCACCTACAGAAGACTTGCTCTTTTAGTATTTCTCCAGTAGGTTTCCTCAAGGAGAAAGCCTCCACTTTATATCAATGATAATAAAACAAAAACACTAGTAAATACTACAGTAATGTCTGCAAACACACTACAGTAAATACTACAGTATATTACAGTCTGCAAAAACACTACAGTAAATACTACAGTAAATACTACAGTATACTACAATCTGCAAAAACACTACATTAATTACTATAGAATATACTACAGTTTTATTTTACTGCAGTATGTATACTATAGTTTAGTTTGGAAAACACTACAATGAATACTACAGTAAAGTCTGTAAAACACTAGTCAATACTATAGTATTTATACCATAGTATACTGTAGTATTTTTTCATGTGGGGTGTTGTGATTTGTTCATGAAGAATACATTCTTTTATCTGTTTTTACCTAATAAAAAGCATGAGCTGGCGCAAACCCCAGAAAATTGGAGTTGCTGACTAATGGTGAGTAAACTATATACAAGCTCCCAGTAATTTATTGTGTAAACCAGTTTTTTACCTACCATAATTCCTTACCACTATGAATATAATATAATACCAGCCTGACTTTAAATAGGGACCGAGTGTAGTAGCCTATAAATGTGTCACTTCCTTTGCTGTGGTTCGCAGATTAACCTGTTTTTCCTTAGCACAGGATTAGTCTTTCTATTTGACAAATATCTAAACCACAGTATCAGCAACACAGCAGTGGTCTATCTAAACCACAGTATCAGCAACACAGCAGTGGTCTATCTAAACCACAGTATCAGCAACACAGCAGTGGTCTATCTAAACCACAGTATCAGCAACACAGCAGTGGTCTATCTAAACCACAGTATCAGCAACACAGCAGTGGTCTATCTAGACCACAGTATCAGCAACACAGCAGTGGTCTATCTAAACCACAGTATCAGCAACACAGCAGTGGTCTATCTAAACCACAGTATCAGCAACACAGCAGTGGTCGATATGCTTGCCCCCTTACCCCCTTTTGCCAGTGACACTCTTCCACTCCACCCCCTCTCTCATAACTATAACCTTTTACCCAGAGAGAATCCATAGGACCAAGGCAGGGGACAGAGCAGAGCATTTGATTGGAACAGAGCATTGGAACAAAGCAGGGGATGTGGTGAGGTGTTGGACAGGGTTGTCTTGATTGGCTCTGGCCTAAGGCAGTAGGAGGAGACTTTCACAATGGATGGGACTTCTGGGAACACATGTTTATAAAAGTTGTCTGGCTGTGCAGGGAGGGGAAGCACAGAGAGGAAAAGAACACAACAAGAGTAAGTTTTGCTTCATTTGCTATCAGACATTTAGACGTTTGTAGATATGTGCAGATTATGCACTGTCACTCTGGGGATCAGACCAGTGCTTGATTTGTACCTTGTGGGCCCTGCTTATGTCTGTAATTGTAGAAGTTTATGTGTATTTGTCTTTGTACAACAAGCTGTAAAGTGACCAAACTGCAGAGGTGGAAAATATGATTGTTATGTGACAGTTTTGTTGAGAAGAAATGTAGTGTCCAAAAAATATATAAAAAAATGTATTTGATGAAAAATTATTTTTGGCCTTACTGCTATAAGCCCATACAAATGCATTGAATAACAGATTCACTACATGGAACAACAGATAGTCCCCCCCAAAAAAATCAAAAGGAAGTTTGTTCTGAAGTGTCTGCCTTATATCTGAGCGATATAAGAAAGACCAGGAAACATTATTATTTTAATTTTTTACATGTATTTAACCACTTATTTTTGGCACTAAACATTCTCCTTGTGTACTTCCATTCATCTTTTCAACTGGTACCAGGGGACATTCAGACGAGTCTTGTGAGGCCTGTGGGCGTCCTAGAGGAAAACAACCGACATGTACGTGTTTGTGAGAGTCTCACCTTTACACAGAGGGGTGGCAGGCTCTACTGTCTCTCAGGTTGGGCCAGATCTCTTGGCTGGACTTTCTCAATGATAATTGCACATGTAGACATGTTAGCTCAGTGAACAAACACAACCCTTTAACCCAATTCATCAATGTTTTCAAGGACATTGACCTCAACATGTTGCTATACTTATGGACAGACTGGCATGAGGCATCTAAGAACAACATCCCAGAAACAATGAGCACCAATGTCAGGGGAGCACAGTGACAGGAGCACAGGTCACGTGACGTCAAATCAGGCTTATCAGGCAGTAATCACTGACTTCTTATCATACCAGTCTCCGTCAGCCGTACAGTTCTGACCTCAATGTTTCCACGCTTTCATGATCACATGCACCATACCCAGTAGCACACTTCATACCCTCTCACCCATCTGGGAGGCCTGACATAGCCTGGGCAGTGGAAAGACTCATCACCCAGGACACCATTGGACACCCCGCCCTTCAGAGATGACCGGTACCCAGCTCCTAAACTACCCTACCACAGACTCTCCCTTCAGCTCTCCCAGCTCCCACTCTATTCAGCTCCATTCAGCTGCCATGACATCCCCAGTCCCCCCTCTTTCCCGGGCCGCCTCGGTCCCATCGCCGCAGCTCCCTCCGGCCCTGTGGCCCCCGCTGGACTTTGCCTTGGGTGCGCTGTCGTGCTGCGGGGCCTGTGTGTTCACTAACCCCCTGGAGGTGGTGAAGACGCGACTGCAGCTGCAGGGAGAGCTGCGGGCGCGGGGGACCTACCAGCGGCACTACCGCGGGGTGGTCCAGGCCCTATGGGTGGTGGGTAGGACAGACGGGCTCCGCGGGCTGCAGAAGGGGCTCTCGGCTGGGCTGATGTACCAGGGTTTGATGAACGGTGTGAGGCTGGGCTTCTACTCCTACTGTGATGCTGTGGGGGTCACTGCAGCCCCTGGAGGGAGTCTGATGTCAGGAGCCATGGCCGGGGCTCTGGGGGCCTTCATCGCCTCTCCTGCCTATCTGGTGAGTAGCATGTTTGTTTTGTTGTTTCTCTCGTAGTCAATAGCTTTTTGTACGTTTTTGTACGATTTTGTACGTTTGCCCACTGACAAAGACGTGATCAGTCTATAATTTTAATGGTAGGTTTATTTGAACAGTGAGAGACAGAATAACAACAAACAAATCCAGAAAAACGCATGTCAAAAATGTTATAAATTGATTTGCATTTTAATGAGGGAAATAAGTATTTGACCCCTTTTCAAAACATGACTTAGTACTTGGTGGCAAAACCCTTGTTGGCAATCACAGAGGTCAGACGTTTCTTGTAGTTGGCCACCAGGTTTGCACACATCTCAGGAGGGATTTTGTCCTACTCCTCTTTGCAGATCTTCTCCAAGTCATTAAGGTTTCGAGCCTGACATTTGGCAACTCAAACCTTCAGCTCCCTCCACAGATTTTCTATGGGATTAAGGTCTGGAGACTGGCTAGGCCACTCCAGGACCTTAATGTGCTTCTTCTTGAGCCACTCCTTTGTTGGCTTGGCCGTGTGTTTTGGGTCATTGTCATGCTGGAATATCCTTCCACAACCCATTTTCATAGCCCTGGCTGAGGGAAGGAGGTTCTCACCCAAGATTTGACGGTACATGGCGCCGTCCATCGTCCCTTTGATGCAGTGAAGTTGTCCTGTCCCCTTAGCAGAAAAACACCCCCAAAGCGTAATGTTTCCACCTCCATGTTTGATGGTGGGGATGGTGTTCTTGGGGTCATAGGCAGCATTCCTCCTCCTCCAAACACGGCGAGTTGAGTTGATGCCAAAGAGCTCGATTTTGGTCTCATCTGACCACAACACTTTCACCCAGTTCTCCTCTGAATCATTCAGATGTTCATTGGCAAACTTCAGACGGGCCTGTATATGTGCTTTCTTGAGCAGGGGTACCTTGCGGGTGCTGCAGGATTTCAGTCCTTCACGGCGTAGTGTGTTACCAATTGTTTTCTTGGTGACTATGGTCCCAGCTGCCTTGAGATCATTGAAAAGATCCTCCCGTGTAGTTCTGGGCTGATTCCTCAGCGTTCTCATGATCATTGCAACTCCACAAGGTGAGATCTTGCATGGAGCCCCAGGCCGAGGGAGTTTGACAGTTATTTTGTGTTTCTTCCATTTGCGAATAATCGCACCAACTGTTGTCACCTTCTCACCAAGCTGCTTGGCGATGGTCTTGTAGCCCATTCCAGCCTTGTGTAGGTCTACAATCTTGTCCCTGACATCCTTGGAGAGCTCTTTGGTCTTGGCCATGGTGGAGAGTTTGGAATCTGATTGATTGATTGCTTCTGTGGACAGGTGTCTTTAATACAGGTAACAAACTGAGATTAGGAGCACTCCCTTTAAGAGTGTGCTCCTAATCTCAGCTCGTTACCTGTATAAAAGACACCTGGGAGCCAGAAATCTTTCTGATTGAGAGGGGGTCAAATACTTATTTCCCTTATTAAAATGCAAATCAATTTATAACATTTTTGACATGCGTTTTTCTGGATTTTTTTGTTATTCTGTCTCTCACTGTTCAAATAAACCTACCATTAAAATCATAGACTGATCATTTCTTTGTCAGTGGGCAAACGTATAAAATCAGCAGGGGATCAAATACTTTTTTCCCTCACTGTATGTAAGGTACTTGGGGTTATAATGTACATACATAACATATATAGCATCTACAGTATTTACAGTGTGACGTCCCGCCCGCTCTGTCTGCTGGGATCTCCTGTTTGGTAGTCTGCTTGTTGCTGGAGGCCAGTGGGCAGAGCTGGGAGGATTGTCAACTGATATGGCGCACCTGGGCAGGTTTGGCCTGCAGGCTATAAAGGCAACTGGCATGCTGGCCACCTTCAGGCCTCTCTTCCCTGACTGGCATGCTGGCCACCTTCAGGCCTCTCTTCCCTGACTGGCATGCTGGCCACCTTCAGGCCTCTCTTCCCTGACTGGCATGCTGGCCACCTTCAGGCCTCTCTTCCCTGACTGGCATGCTGGCCACCTTCAGGCCTCTCTTCCCTGACTGGCATGCTGGCCACCTTCAGGCCTCTCTTCCCTGACTGGCATGCTGGCCACCTTCAGGCCTCTCTTCCCTGACTGGCATGCTGGCCACCTTCAGGCCTCTCTTCCCTGACTGGCATGCTGGCCACCTTCAGGCCTCTCTTCCCTGACTGGCATGCTGGCCACCTTCAGGCCTCTCTTCCCTGACTGGCATGCTGGCCACCTTCAGGCCTCTCTTCCCTGACTGGCATGCTGGCCACCTTCAGGCCTCTCTTCCCTGACTGGCATGCTGGCCACCTTCAGGCCTCTCTTCCCTGACTGGCATGCTGGCCACCTTCAGGCCTCTCTTCCCTGACTGGCATGCTGGCCACCTTCAGGCCTCTCTTCCCTGACTGGCATGCTGGCCACCTTCAGGCCTCTCTTCCCTGACTGGCATGCTGGCCACCTTCAGGCCTCTCTTCCCTGACTGGCATGCTGGCCACCTTCAGGCCTCTCTTCCCTGACTGGCATGCTGGCTTCCACCACCTTTTGTTTTTTTGGTCTGTTTTCACCATACAGCACTCTCTCCACTCATCCACATGCTGCATACACTACTGATTCTACAGACATCCACAGTTTATGTTACATTTTTGTATTTAGTTTAATACATTTATTCCTTTTTACATTTAAGTCATACGTGGTCTCCCTTTGTTGTTATGAACTATGAGCCAGATCGTAACAACAGTGTTTACCCTACAGCAGGGTTCTCCAGCTGGTGGCCCACAGGTCATTTTATTTGGCCCCCAAGTTTTCTGAGCAAAAACTTTAACTTATTTTTATTTTTCATAAAGTACTGTAAAAACACCAGCAAATCAGCTCCAAGTGATTTTAATTTTGGAAATCTCTTCCAAAGTTTTCCCACACAATAGAGAGATATACTGTATGTTATCGTATACAAACGTAAGCAAGGTTTGAATTGCTTATGTTTTAGTCAAATGTTATATCTGTTTGGGCTTCTTGCGGTCAATTTGCAGTCTACAAATAATTTGTAATTATGTTACGGCCCCCTGACCATCCGTTCAAGAACAAATCGTCCCGTGGCTGAATCTAGTTGATGATCCCTGCCCTACAGTATGTGCCCCAATTTCACAACAAAGGCTTTTTGGAGTATGGAGTATAATCATAAGTGTCATAAATATTGCACCAGCCATGTTCCCTGTTACGAGAACCTGGGGCATTTGTGCAAGTACTATAAATACAAATCTATCAAGTCAGCCGGTTCAGCGTGTTACGTATCATGTTATGTTCAGGGATGTGATTGTTACTGTGCGAAGGGCAGTGGCTTCTACAGTGGCTGTGTATTTCCCCATGCGTTCAGGCAGTTGCCCCTCACTTGAATAATTTCCCTAGAGGTGTGTGTAACCCAAGCTGGCCCTCATATAGAAGCAGGAAAACTATCAAACAAACTGGGTCAAGCCTGTAAGTAGGACTAGAAGTATTCTTAGTAGTGTTGCATTTCAGAGGGGGAGAAAGATCCAAACTATTCAAGTAAAACCAGTTGTACTTGTTTCAACTGTGAAATGTACACGTTATTTTGTCTCCTGCGATTCCAAAATTCTAAATGATCAATCAATCACTAATAATGCTGGTAGTGCTGTTGTAGCTACCATTTGCAATGCATGTGTTCATCCATGTCATAAAGCACTGGAATCATCTTGGCTATATAATTTGTAAGTCGCTCTGGACAAGAGCGTCTGCTAAATGACGTAAATGTAATGTAAATGTAAATATACTCCTGCAACTGTTGCTGTTGTCTAGGCTGCATCTGTTGCTCAATACATCAATGTAGCCATGTAATCTCTCCAGCATCCTGAAAACACTATACATATAGATATGTTTCTGAGTATCTGGGTCACTAAATATACCTGGCATGTACCCACTTCCAAGCACTACCCAAAATAATTCCCAGCACTCCCTCCTGTACTTTTTGGCAATATATGAAGGTAAGCGAGACAGAACGATAGAAAGAGATTTCTGATTACACCTGGTATGTGACAAAGTGCAGGGAGGGCTCGGCCTCCGGAGTATGTGTGTGTGAGTGTGTGTGCATGTATACTGTGGGAGCCAAACTCAGGTTTCAAGACTCAGTCAGTGTGCAGTGTCATCTCAATAACCTGAGTAATGCTTCTGTAATTATAGGGTGATGTACTGCAGAGGCTCTCTTTGCAATGCTGTGTCAAATGGGTATACACTACATTGAAGCATCTTAGTCTTATTTTGCCTCCACAGGTGAAGACACATCTGCAGGCCCAGACAGTTGAGGCCATCGCAGTGGGTCACCAGCACAACCATCAGGTGAGGGGTGTGTGCATCTGTGTGTGTGCATGTGTATGTGTGTGTGGATGCAGGACATCTGTTCCCTGTGTTCAAGATCTGCCAATACATTTTTAATGATTTCTCTGATATTTCAACAATCCTGTCGTTCAGGCTCAACATCCAGCTTTCATGTTGCTGTTCAGGTTTTGATGCTGTTTCACTGTCATTTTTTCCAATCCCACTCTATCATTTCGGCTCACACAGAATAGCTGACCATATCGAGTGTGGTCAGGAGTGTTGTGTTAGTGTAAACGTGCTTATAAAAGAGTGAATACACGGCCCCAAATGTGTTTTAGAGCTCCTTGCCAACCCCAGAGACACATTTCACAACCACCAGCCAATCAGCGACAGACAAACAGAGGTGCGGAGGGGTGTCAACAAGAGAATGACACACAACCTTTGTGACTGATACTCTACTCACAATGATAAAGACAAGCACTGAGATGTAATCTTGGTACTCCTCTCACACACTTACAATGAATCAGCGTTTCCCAAACTCGGTCCTCGGGACCCCAAGAGGTGCAAGTTTTGGTTTTTGCCCTAGCACTACACAGCTGATTCAAATGACCAAAGCTTGATGACAGTTGATTATTTGAATCAGCTCTGTAGTGTTAGGGCAAAAACCAAAACGTGCACCCCCTGGGGTCCCGAGGACCGAGTTTGGGAAACCCTGCAGTAAAGCTCAAGGCAATGTATAGATCTAAGTTATGCAGGTTTTCTACAGTGAAGTCAACTGGCACAATATCCCTTTGTGTGTGCCATAGGCTGAAGCAATCCAATACCCTGACACACTGCCATTTGTCCACAAGTGATGTAAGTGCAGAGTTCATAATTTAATAGTAGAAAAATGTCCATACTTCAGAGAGGGATTTCCATAAGAAAACACTTTCACATTCAACAGCAAGAAGCACTAGGCTATGTATGGTAGCCTACACTTGTGGCTCAATACTTCCAACTTTTCTCCCTCATAAAATGTATCCATCTTCTTCTGAATTTGCTTTACAAGCCAGTTGCCTCTACCTGCAGTTTGCTAGCGCATACCTCGTAGTAAAAAGAAGTAAAGCCCTTTAACTGATGGATGACCCCTTTTCCCTCTGTCTTTCTTTACCTCCCTAAGGGGTTGTCGAGTGCCTTTGCCAATATCTACCGGCGGGAGGGCGTGGTGGGTCTGTGGAGGGGTGTGAACGGTGCTGTGCCTCGAGTCATGGTGGGATCAGCCGCCCAATTGGCCACCTTCAGCTCCGCCAAGGAATGGGTGGCACGCCTGCAGGTAACCATAGAAACTATGTGGCGGGAGGGCGTGGTGGGTCTGTGGAGGGGTGTGAACGGTGCTGTGCCTCGAGTCATGGTGGGATCAGCCGCCCAATTGGCCACCTTCAGCTCCGCCAAGGAATGGGTGGCACGCCTGCAGGTAACCATAGAAACTATGTATCGCACTCACAGACTGTGTTGCTTATTGCGTTACAAGCCAGGTGTCACACGTGCAGATGACAATTATAGTACAGTACCAGCAGATAAGGATGGTGTGTATAGAAAAAGGCTGTCTGTTATTGTCATGCGAAATACTGCTGGTCTCACAGTAACTGACCGTCAATTAACATAAACACGTTTAGCATCTCTGTCACGATCGTCATGGAGAGACCAAGGCGCAGCGTTGCGGGTGAACATATTATATTTATTAAATGATCACACGATCAAAACAACAAACGAAAAACGTGACGTCTATGGTTAAACACACACCAACACGAACAAGAAACCACAAACACAACGTGAAAGACAGACAGTTAAATATGGCTCCCAATCAGAGACACCCAGCTGACACTCGTTGCCTCTGATTGGGAGTCACTCAGACCAACATAGAAAATCAAACATAGAATTACACACCCTGGCTCAACATAACATTGTCCCCAGAGCCAGGGCGTGACAGTACCCCCCCCTAAAGGCGCGGACTCCGACCGCGCCAACTAAATCCCACAGGGGAGGGACCGGGTGGGCACTCCGCCTAGGCGGCGGATCCGGCTCCGGACATGACCCAGGCACGGGTTGTGCTGGACTGATGACGCGCACCCCTGGCTTGGTGCGTGGAGGAGGAACGGGCCTTACCAGGCTGACGACGCACACCGTAGGCTTGGTGCGTGGAGCAGGGACAGGCCGGACTGGGCTGACGAAGCACACCACTGACTTGGTGCGGGGAGCAGGAACGGGCCGAGCCGGGCTGACGAAGCGCACCACTGCCTTGGCGTGGGGAGCAGGAATGGACCGGACCGGGCTGACGAAGCGCACCCCTGACTTGGTGCGGGGAGCAGGAATGGGCCGGACCGGGCTGACGACGCGCACCACTGACTTGGTGCGGGGAGTAGGAATGGGCCGGACCGGGCTGACAACGCGCACCACTGACTTGGTGCGGGGAGCAGGAACGGGCCAGACCGGGCTGACGACGCGCACCACTGACTTGGGGCGGGGAGCAGGAACGAGCCGCGCCGGGCTGACGAAACGCACCACTGACTTGGTGGGAGTGGCAGGAACAGGCCGGACCGTACTGGGAACACACACCACTGGCCCTACTTGAGGATCAGGAACAGGCCGGACCGGACTGGCAACACACGCCAGTACCTCTCGCCGTGCCTCTACAACCTCCTTCCCCCTGGTGACCAGTGACTCCCGTAACCTGGCGGCCTCCTCTGCCAACCCGCTGGACCGCTCTATCGCGGCCTCCTGCTGCCCCGACGTCGTGAGCCCCCCCCTAAAAATTTTCTGGGGGTCTCTCCTCCCCGTGGGCCAGGCCTCCATCGTTCTCGCCCAACTCTCGCTCCTCTGTCTCCAACTCTCGCCATTCAGCTCCTCAATGGGCTTGACCCAGTCGAAGCTCCTCCTCAACTGGTCCCAAGTCCACCCTCTCTGCTCCTCATTAGGCTTGACCCAGTCGAGGCTGCCACAGAGATCTGCCAGTGATGGCTCCTGGACACGCTGCTTGGTCTGGTTTAGGTGGTTTCTTCTGTCACGATCGTCATGGAGAGACCAAGGCGCAGCGTTGCGGGTGAACATATTATATTTATTAAATGATCACACGATCAAAACAACAAACGAAAAACGTGACGTCTATGGTTAAACCAACACGAACAAGAAACCACAAACACAACGTGAAAGACAGACTGTTAAATATGGCTCCCAATCAGAGACACCCAGCTGACACTCGTTGCCTCTGATTGGGAGTCACTCAGACCAACATAGAAAATCAAACATAGAATTACACACCCTGGCTCAACATAACATTGTCCCCAGAGCCAGGGCGTGACAATCTCCTGGCCTCCACGCACACAAGCTGCAAACAAGCAGCTGATGCGCGCCTTTGGAACATCTACATTGAAAAAAGTAGGCCTATAATAAATCAATTTAATATACACCATCACAATAAATCCATTATTTATTTTAGGCAGGTCTAAAGAAACATTATGATATGAAGAAAATGTATTTCCGAAAAACAGAATATAAGTTGGCCTACTGTATGTTATCTGGCTATGCTCCATGCCATAGGCTGTAGGCTTGTTCATTTAGCAGACAATGTAGGTTTATAAGCCCCGTGCCATTATTTGATATGATATGATTTTATAGTAAGAAGAATGTAATTGAACTTAGCTGAATAAAATAGAAAGGATATTTTTTCCCATTCCGAAGCGAGTGGGTATGAAGTGGCTATGTTAAGCGTAAAAGTGATCATTTGAAACAGGTCCTATACGCTAGATTTAGAGTTATTTGGCAACTTTAGTTTTGAATGATACAAACCTTAGAATGTCTTAGATATAAAAACATATATAGGCTGCATGATGCGACTATAGGCTATTGATGATTTGAGAAAGCCGCAAAAAAAGATTGCACCCTGTTCCTTGCCTCACGCTGCACAGCTGTTCTCTCATCAAGCGATCATATTTTCAATTTAATTTTGTCTTTACTAATATGTAAAATTAGTTTCGATTTAGAATGGCCCATTATTAAATGGCCAGGAACATGGGCAGTGGAAAAAAGACATGTCATCTGTATGCACTGGGATAGCGAATGGAGGCCGCGCGCTTTTCCGCCGGGCCGTTTTTCAGTGATGCCTGGTAGGCTACTTCGGTTTTATAGTGGAGGTGTGCTTAATATGAGCAGCTGAGAAATAAATATAAGAACACTTATTTCACTCCACTCATCAACCACTGTTTGAGGAGCATGCTCTCGCTGCGTGACAGGTGATATTCAGCCCAAACTCTGTATGCCATGGAATCACCAACCCTGTTCCTGCAGCTACCAAGTGCTTAATTTGGGAAACCAAGTGAAATCTATTCCGGAACGTTGATAGTAGGCGAACATGTTTTCACACCGAAACATATTTCACTAAACTGGAATAATGGAGAAAGACTAGCGGATGGAAACGCATGGTGGTGAAATATTCTCTATAGCTAAAGGTAATGTGCCACCCAATTAATTATGAAAATATAAAAAATGCCCTAATTACTAGGCTATTCAAAATCAAATAGAAATGGATTATAATTATAGGCTAACTGTAAGCCGCCCTGCACAATCAATGAACCAACAGCTCGCATCCGTTACAAGACCATGGTGCTTGCCTATGGAGCAGTGAGGGGAACGGCACCTCTGTACCTTCGGGCTCTGATCAGTCCCTACACCCAAACGAGGGCATTGCGTTCATCCACCTCTGGCCTGCTGGCTCCCCTTCCTCTGCGGAAGCATAGTTCCCGCTCAGCCCAGTCAAAACTGTTCGCTGCTCTGGCACCCCAATGGTGGAACAAGCTCCCTCACGACGCCAGGACAGCGGAGTCACTCACCACCTTCCGGAGACATTTGAAACCCCACCTCTTTAAGGAATACCTGGGATAGGATAAAGTAATCCTTCTACTCCCCCCCCCCCCAAAAAAAAAAAAAAAATGTAAAGTGGTTATCCCACTGGCTATAGGGTGAATGCACCAATTTGTGAGTCGCTCTGGATAAGAGCGTCTGCTAAATGACGTAAATGTGCCCTTGAGCAAGGCACTTAACCCTAATTGCTCCTGTAAGTCGCTCTGGATAAGAGCGTCTGCTAAATGACTAAAATGTAAAATGTAAATGTCATCGCCTAGGGCTATATGTTCTCTCTCAGACACATGGATATACATTTTTGAGTGTAGCATAAGGTAACCAGTCCATCCAGTATGGATAATAATACAGTCCACACTCAAAGGTGATTACTCGAATTTGTTTAATTTTGGAGTACAGTGCATTCGGAAAGTATTCAGACCCCTTCACTTTTGCCACATTTTGTCACTTACAGCCTTATTCTAAAATTGATTAAATAAATAAAAATCCTCATCAATCTGCACATAATACCCCATAGTGACAAAGCAAAAAAGGTTTTTAGAAATGTTTGCAAATGTATACAAAATTAAAAACAGAAATACCTTATTTACATAAGTATTCATACCCTTTGCTATGAGACTCGAAATTTAGCTCAGGTGCATCCTGTTTCCATTGATCATCCTTGAGATGTATGTACAGTGTGATTGGAGTCCACGTGTGGTAAATTAAATTGATTGGACTTGATTTGGAAAGGCACACACCTGCCTATATAAGGTCCCACAATTGACAGTGCATGTCAGAGCAAAAACCAACCCATGAGGTCGAAGGAATTGTCCATAGAGCTCAGAGACAGGATTGTGTCGAGGCACAGATCTGGGGAAGGGTACCAAAACATTTCTGCAGCATTGAAGATCCCCAAGAACACAGTGGCCTCCATCATTCTTAAATGGAAGAAGTTTGGAACCACCAAGACTCTCCCTAGAGCTGGCTGCCTGCCAAACTGAGCAATCGGGGGAGAAGGGCCTTGGTCAGGGAGGTGACCAAGAACCCAATGGTCACTCTGACAGAGCTCCAGTGTTCCTCTGTGGAGATGGGAGAATCTTCCAGAAGGACAACCATCTCTGCAGCACTCCACTAATCAGGCCTTTATGGTAGAGTGGCCAGACGGAAGCTACTCCTCAGTAAAAGGCACATGACAGCCCGCTCGGAGTTTGCCAAAAGGCACCTAAAGGACTCTCAGACCATGAGAAACAAGATTCTCTGGTCTGATGAAACCAAGATTGAACTCTTTGGCCTGAATGCCAAGCGTCACGTCTGGAGGAAACCTGGCACCATCCCTACGGTAAAGCATGGTGGTGGTAGCATCATGCTGTGGGGATGTTTTTCAGCGGCAGGGACTGAGAGACTAGTCAGAATCGAGAGAAAGATGAACGGCGCAAAGTACAGAGATCCTTGATGAAAACCTGCTCCGGAGCGCTCAGGACCTCAGACTGGGGCGAAGGTTCACCTTCCAACAGGAAGGCACAGCCAAGACAACGCAGGAGTGGCTTCAGGACAAATCTCTGAATGTCCTTGAGTGGCCCAGCCAGAGCCCGGACTTGAACCCGATCGAACATCTCTGGAGAGACCTGAAAATTGCTGTGCAGCGACGCTCCCCATCCAACCTGACAGAGCTTGATAGGATCTGCAGAGAAGAATGGGAGAAACTCCCCAAGGTGTGCCAAGCTTGTAGTGTCATACCCAAGAAGACTCAAGGCTGTAATCGCTGCCAAAGGTGCTTCAACAAAGTACTGAGTAAAGGGTCTGAATACTTATGTAAATGTCATATTTATGTTTTTTGCTTTGTCATTATGGGGTATTGTGCGTAGATTGATGAGGGGGAAAAACTATTTAATCAATTTTTGAATGAGGCTGTAACATAACCAAATGTGGAAAAAGTCAAGGGGTCTGAATACTTCTGAATGCACTGTATAGGCTAGACAAATTATGTACCAAAGACATCTTAAATCAGTTGTTTTTTATGCGTAATATGCTGTAGTATATGTATTGTAAAAGGCTCATATGGGTGTTTTGAATGAATCATCACCTTAGAAAGCTCTGTCCATTTCGTTGTGTTAGGCTTTGAAACAACATCCACTACGACCATGTTATACACTGAGTTTCAATCTGCTGTTTAACATTTTTCATCACAGTGAGGTGAGTTTTAAAAGCAGGATACTGTTTTGATGATAAGTGTTTGATATGATTTTCGATTGCATGTGCATTGATGTCAGAGTGTTTAGAGGGACAATAGATCCCTGAATACCAGGCCATTAGTGACCTGATGGTCATTAGCAAGTTGGGTACTACCAAAGCATTTCCAGAGTGCTTAAAAGGAGATTACCGTGACTCAGTCATGACTCATGACTGCTGGTGTGGCGGTAATACAGGGACCAGCTCTAATATAGAACGATTGATCTGACTTGATTGTTTTTTTACAAGGTACATATGATACAAGAAGCCAAAAAGATATTAATAATCTGGCACCTCTACAGTTAGTTGATTTCTCTCTCTGTGTCCTTGTAGTGGTACAGTCCAAACAGCTGGCTGGTTGCCTTGACAGCTGCCTGTATCAGTGGAGTTGTGGTGGCGATCACCATGACGCCGTTTGATGTTATCAGCACCCGCCTCTACAACCAGCCAGTGGATGAGCGTCATAGGGTGAGCCTTTTTTCATTATCTCGTTTTCCTTCCTCTTAGCTGTTCAACTCAAATATATATAAATATCTATACTGTAACTATCTTTAGCTGTTGAACTCACAGTTTTATTCTCTGCCTCTCTTGCCTGTCTGTTAGGGTCGTCTGTACCTGGGCTTCTCAGACTGTCTGGTGAAGGTGTGCCGGACCGAGGGTCTGCTGGGGCTGTATAAAGGCATGGGCCCTGTATTCTTCCGCCTGTGCCCTCACACTGTTCTCAGCATGCTCTTCTGGGACCTGATGAGACAACGGGCCTTTCAGGACGTCCAGAACCAGAGCTGTAGAGAAGAGGATATTCAGCCAATCCTGGATGACAATGGAAGTTGAATTAAAAAAGACTTCTTCATTACGTTTCGACCTGTTGCCTTCGTCAGAGCCGGAGCTGAGACATAAGGCCTCATACTGTACATGGACAGAGTTGAGGTGTAATAATTGACAGGTCCATTGGTGGAGAGAAGGAGAGACGATGAGGAGTAGACGCTCTTGATTCCACAGAATATACTTGTGCTCACTCAGTGGTTGACAGGAAGGATACATAATAGCTTGACATATATCACTTGACTTGACTTAAACAACTTGATCCATCTCCGGTTTATTTTATAGACACTTCAAGTTGCTGGACGGTGATGTTGAAGGAGGATATGGAAGATGAGGCTCACTCCATGCCTAAGCCTTAAAGGGGCAATCTGAAGTTTCTATATACATTTTTGGACTTATGAATGATATGTACCCATTGATTCTTAAAGAATATAACTTAGAATTGCCTCATGAGCTTAGTTCAACTGTCCTACCCCATCAGAACCCAAAATATAAGCTTGTTTTACTCCAGTGTTTGTAAACAAATTGTAAATGCAAACAAAAACATGGTTAAAACTATAATTTTGATATCATGGATGGTCAGTCCTTGCATCCATAGCTCTGTCTATGAATTTCACCCCATCCCTCAACTTTTGCCAAAACAGGGGTGGGGAGTCTCTTTAAAAATTGTTTTATTCAACTGCTGATTGCCACTATAAGGTCAAAAGTAAAACTGTGCACAAGAAGGCCCATTATTGATGAAGCAAGACTAAGGTTGGTCGGATCAACAATTCTGTGTAATATGTGCCTTTTAGTCTGGGTTAGTGACCTAGATGATTTTGAGGCAACAGTTTTACTGATATGTTTGTTGTTTCCATGTAATGTGTGAAAATAACAATGCCTTGACTTGTGCATGTCTGAAGATTAGAAAAATGTAAGATAACTTGAACTAACTGAAGTATATGTATAATTGTTATTTTGAATTGCTATTAATAAAGACATTTCTACTTTAAAATTGGAATACACCTCCTTTTTAACATTCACAGATCCCATTGATGGCACAGATGAGTACCCCAGCCTAGTTTCTGAGAATGAATTTCTTCAAGACAATAGCCTAATCAAGCAGATTCTCTTGATGCAATTTCAAGCAATCATCTATATTTAGATACAGTGCTTTTGATAATTGTTGAATAGTTAAGCCTATCTCTGACAGTTATTCATTTGCAACCCCTTTTGATCATGAAACGTGTAGGCCTTCTCAGACAGACGGGGGGCACACGTCAGACCACAATCAGACGACCTTTGAAACTGCAACATGGTGATCAATACGGTGTAAATGAAGGCAACATGAAAACCATCTGAAGAGTGTCGTGTTGCGGAGGAAAGGATACAAATGCATCCCATTTGGTCACTGCGTTTCTAATCAATGACAATATCACTGTACATTTTGGATCGAAGTTTCTAGCATTGGTTGATTAACAAATACTTGTCGGATCGTGCGAGTCAGAAAAAACGAACAAATGTCAATGTCTCCCTCAACCTGGCTAGCGTGGATACCCGTGTGGCTGCCATTTGACTCCAACCCTTTTGATTGTGTATTACAAGGTGGGTCGCTATGCGGTTGTGCATTTATACGTTCGCCGTCTATGTTATTGCACCGGTTATATATTACTTGATATCAAAGTCCTTGAATTATGGTGGTGATGATGAAACGATCATGTTCAGGAACTTTATTGGTGATGATGAAGATGATAGTAACGCGCGCGCGTGTGTGTGCTTTTGGTCCTCAGGTCTGGTTGGTGCATGTGGAATCTCAGTGTTCTATAATCTCATGAGAGTTCACCTACTCCTTCAGTCAATCAGGTGAGATACTATTGCTTTTTAATATATATTGTCTCAAAACAATAAATAACCCCTACTGTATTAGAGTAAAAATAACCTGTGTTCATGAATGCTTATATCAAATGCAATGTTGTAATCTATAGTGTTTATGTGTACAACGTTATTTGTGTACACTTAACTTAATCTCTCCCCTGTAGCAGTGGTTCTGAATGTAATGGGGACAGTAAAGAGAAGGAAAGGTCGAAGTCTTCACCTGCAGCAGGGAACAGGCCAGTGGGGGGACATTGGTTGAGTGGTGTGCTGCAGTTTTGGTTCTTGACTGGCCTCCTGTCTCTGGTCGGCCCCCGGGTCTCCTCCCTAGTGGTCCTGGAGTTCTCCCTCAGGGCCGTTGCTGCCTGGATCACTGCAGGACCGGTGAGACACAAACACAAACACACGAACACGCACACGTACACACACACACGCACACATCAACACAGTGTGTTTTATATAGTTTTTTGGTTCCTTTTGTAAATATGATACACTTGTGTTATTTTAGTGTTTTGTTTTGGGGGATATTCAGTCATTCATTCTTCTATAAATGTATTCCTTAATCCATTCGTTAATGTGTCTGTCTGTCTGTCTGTTTCTTTGTTTCTTTGCCTGGCTCTGTACCCAGGATGTCCTCCCAGGCAGCACCAAGCTCATGCTGGTCCAGTGCCAGTTCTCTCTGGGCTGTGCTCTGAGCTGCAGTCTCCACTTCCTCCAGGAGGGGGCTCCCCACCGCTCCCTCAGCCTCCTGCTTGCGGCTGGCCTCAGCTGGCTGCTGGCGGGTCACTGCCACCTTCTCTGGGGCCACGTCTCCAGGCTCTACCACCTACACAGCTCCCAGCGTTACTGTGGGGTCTGCATCACCCTCCTGACCTCCGGTCACTCCCTGCTCCCCTCGCTGCAGAGAGCCGTGGTCCTGGCCTTTGCCGTGGCCGGCATGGCCGGCCTCGCCACCGTGCACCACCACTTCCTGTCCGAGGCGGAGTCTCTGAGGTTCTGGACACCACTGACCATCTGCTACACCCTGTTGGTGGTCTACGTCCAAGGTGATGCTTCACTTAGATTAACTTGATTTCCATAGAAATTCTTAGCAGCCCAAAGAATGAGTTGAACCAATCAATTGAGAGAAGTAGCACCACAACAAGTAGCATCGCCTCTTAAAGATCAGGGTCGTGTTCAGTATTGAGGAAACATTTCAAAACAGAGTGAAATGGGGCAAGTACTACTTCAATTTGTCCAATAAGAACACAGATTTTCATTTTCAGTCACAAAACGTTACAGTGTGCCCTACTGAACAGAATCACCTTTATTCGCCAAGTACATTTACACATACTCCGAATTGTACTTGGTGATATGGTGCTGCTAGTGATAGACAACAATTAGAGACAGAATACAGACAGCGGAGTTTACACAAAGTTTCCATACATTATATACAAACAGGTAGAGTGAGCATAGAGCTATAAGAGGATGAGCAGATATACAAATATACAGTTGATATACAGTGGATGTACAAATGTACATTATTAGTAAAATGGATCTAGCACTCTAGTAGTGTCACGTTTGTTCATTATCTTCTCTATTGCCCTCCACAGAGGAGCAGAATCGGCGCCCTGGTAGTGAGGCCCTGCTGCACACGGTGGTTCTGCGTCTGGGAGCCCTGCTGGTGCTCATGCTGATGGTGGGCCGCTGGACCGACGTGCTCCATATCCTCATCACCTTCCTGGGGGAAGCTGTCTGCCTGTTGCCTTCTCAGGACCTCCTCCAAGCCCTGCCCCAGGTCAGTGTGGCTCTACAGCCTGAACACATCTCACTCTCGCTCCGTGTTTCTCTGTTTCTCTCTCTCCCTGTTTCTCTCTCTCTGTGTTTCTCTGTCTCTCTCTCTGTCTGTCTCTCTTTCTCTTTCACCTTCTCTTTCTTTCTCTGCAGGGACAGCGAAAACATTTCACAGGGGGTGCGGGAAAACAATGGTTTAAGCCTAGATATGTTTCTAATAAGCCTAGATAATATTTGGGTAGGCTATTTGTTAGTCAACTTGTCTATAATTACATACATGCAGCTTCTCGTCTGTCATAACTTTGCCCTAGAAGACGTAATATAGCTTTGCTTACAAGAATAATGTTAGAATGAATGCATCAATAATCTAGTTGAAATCGGTTACGTTTTCTCTTTCATTTCTGCTTCGATGAGCTTTAGGGAACGGGGAGAAAACACAATACCTCTAAAACGTGAAAGATTCTTCCGCTTTTATGGCACAGACTTTTGTGATCATACGGTAATCATTGATTCCAAATCGTTTTCTGTTTCTTCATGACAGTATTCTCTGTTGTTCTATTGCTCTTTAGGAGGAAGCAGAAAAAGACATTCCCAGCAGATCTGCCCGGCACTCCAGCAGCACACAGCAGCACATGTCAACAAGGAGAAGTCTGTGCTCCATGTCATCAGACTGCGACACACAGAGAGACTATCAGGCTGCAGAATACCACAACACAGACCAGTCCCTGTTTCACTCTACCTCAGATAGAGACAAATAACTCATACTTCAAATATTGCCATCTACTGGCCTATCTCACTCAGTGATACTGTTGAAATCCAATAATGTCCCCATTTACGCAGCCATATTAAGCTTTGATGCTGTTTTGTCACATAGACGTACACCATTTCTGTCATAAATTATATCAATATTAAAATATGAACTGTTGTTTATAACCTTGTTATGACACTATGTTGTTTGGACCAGTGAAGGGAGACCTAAACCTGCTTACACAAGGACACTGATCTGTTGTTTCTTTACTCTGTCTTCTCTTGAATTATTAACCAGTCTATTACCACAGTGACAAGGGTGTGGTTGCTAGAGCCATAAATATACAGTTTGTTCTCTGGCTAAGTGGCTTATATAACACTCCAGCTTTGCGGTGTAGATTTGCGCTGTAGCTAGGAATTGTAGTCTATTTAGCTTTACCAGATGTCCTGACTATTCAAAATATAACAAGTGTGATGATCATTTCTATTATTTAAGAGGGGTGAGTACACAGTGAAAGATAGAAGGTAGTAAGTAAGTGGTTGAGTGGAAAGTAACTTGGGGGATGATGAGAAGGAGAGGGTTGAAGATAGAGATTAACTGAGGTTCAAAGATAAGAGGGAGAGGTGTGTGGTAACTGTTGTCTCTACTGGTTGTACCTTGTCCCTTCAAAAAGCAGTCATCAGCACACCCAGTTTCGCAAGCATTTTTACTAGTACATTTACATTTTAGTCATTTAGCAGATGCTCTTGTCCTGGTCGACTTACAGTCAAACAGGAAGTAAAGACAGGAAGCATGCTTTATCAACTAACCGAAAGAGAGAAATTAGACCATATTTGGTTTATGATGCCAGCGCTATGTCTAGGTTTTTAAATAGTTTAAATAGGGCGGCAGGTAGCTTAGTGGTTAAGAGCGTTGTACCAGTAACCGAAAGGTCGCTGGTTCTAATCCCCAAGCAGACTAGGTGAAAAATCTGTCGATGTGCCCTTGAGCAAGGCACTTAACCCTAATTGCTCCTGTAAGTCGCTCTGGATAAGAGCGTCTGCTAAATGACCAATTTATTTATTTTTTAATTTAAAACCAGATTAGAGTTGAGAACAGGGTTTTAGATATGGCCAGGGCCACACGAATGGTTTCTAAAATGCAAATCATACATGCCTTTTCTGTCCTTTTACAAACACACACTTTTTGTGCAATGTTCATCATCATCCTGTTTGTTGGAGCTGTTGTGTTCCCCTTGGAATTACCCTATTTGTACTGAATAAACCGATAGGCCATTTATTTCATAGGGATGTAACATTTTGTGCTGTTTTTGTCACATCTGCTCCTGTAACGCCCTCCACTGCTCATCCTGTGTCTCCTTGACCTGCCGCCACTCCCCCAGTACTCTCTCCCTCTCCCTCTCTCTCTCTGTGTGTGTGTGATTGTGTGGGCGGAGACAGGTGTGCTGGAGTCAGAGCAGATCCCCACCAGCTGCAACCTGTTCCATAATCAAGACCTCTACAAATACTTAGTCCTGCCACTTCCACACTGCCAGATCGTAATCTCTGCTCAGTCAGTCTACAGTTCTATCCGTTTGTTACTATTCAGATCCTGTTGTGCCTGTTTTCCTTGCCTGACGCTGTTTTCCTCTCCGCTACAGTTCTGCCCGCTCTGACTCTGGTCCCTGTCTCCAGTCCCACGTCTCATCATCCTGCTACTCTGTCCTGGATTCCCCTCGGGACCTGCTCACCCTGTCTCAACCCCCCTCGCTCCAGCCTCAGCCTTCGCACCTGGTTTCCAGCAGTTTCCCCTGACCTGCACTCCATCTCCCCCCTGTGTTTCAATAAATACCTTGGTTACTTCATCCCAGTCTCCTCGTCTGAGTCTGCTCTTGGGTTCCCCTGTTCCCCTCCGTGTAACAGTTGTCCTACAATGGCCATCTATTCGCTTACAGAAGTATTAGAGTTGTGTTGTCAGTTTCCCCCCTTTCTGCATCTGGGTGCTTGATGAAGGGGAGCTGTGGGGGAGGGGCTTAGATTTTAGGGGCTGATGTCATAACTGGGCATGCTCCCTCCTGCAGCTGTGACATCACCGCAGAGCAGCATTCCATTTGTCAGACACTGGAACAACACAGACCCCCCTGACCCAGCTCCCCTTCTGGCAGCTCCGCTCTCTCTCTTTAGCCCCCTCTCTCCATTTAACCCCTCTCTAACTCCGTTCACACATCTCTGGTATCTCCCTTCTCTCTCTGTTTCTCCCTTCCATTTTCAAGCCAACCTCTATCTTTTCATCTCTCAACCTTCTGTTTTTTTCTTTTCTTTTTCTGCCAGCCGTCTTCTCTAGCAGAAGCTTCTCTGGCTGGAATGAGGGTACAGGCTGCACAAGCTTACGCTCCACTCTAAGACATCGCACAATCGTTCTCTTTCTTGCTTTCTCTCAATCTCTTTTTCTCTTCCTCAATCCCCACCATTTCACCAGTCATTCTGCTATGATTCATTGCACTGTAATGTGTGTTTGCTCCTTACTGCTCCTATTAGTCCAAATACTGATTGAGAAGGGGTTTTGAATCTAAGTTTAGTAGGAAGTAGACTTGTACTTTTTTTTTGTCCTGAGTATCCAGTGTTGGAAACAAGTTATACATTCTTGTTGATTTACAGCAATGCATTAGCAACCAATAGTTAGTCAAGGCTAAATAGGAGAGCAAGAGTGAGTGATAGAACTGACCCACTGGGCACAGATGTCAGTTCAACATCTAGTTTTAAATGTAGTTGAGAATTCACTAATGTGAATTCATCATGAAATCAACAAAACCTTTTTGCAGAGTGGGGGATGGGAAGAGAAAAATGAGGGGGAAGAAAAAAGAGGGCAGACTGGATGAGGGAGGTAGGGGAAATAAAACTGACAGAACAATAAGGGAAAGGAGAGAGAGGGAGGGATAGAGAAAGAGCAGGGGAGAAGATAGCTACAGAGACAGGGGAGCTGGGAAGGCAGGTACAGTCACATCCTGCTGGATTTCAGAAGATAAGGTGGGAGGAAAGACGGGGGGGCAGTGAGTGTGTCTACTCTGTGTGATACTGTACGTGCTGTGTACATTACTAATGTGTGTGTGAGTGTGTATGACTATGCATAGTCTGTGCTCCAGGGTGTTTGTCTGAATGTGTCATGCTTTTTACTGTACTTTGTTAGTGATTAACTGTTCACCTTTTACAGTTGGGGAAGTGGTGTTGTCATTCAGTGGGAGAGGAAGGAGGAGGGAATGAGGGGGAGAGAGAGGGAGGGAGGTACAGGAGGAAAAGGAGTGGCTTTCTGTAGATAGCTGTTCTTTCTGCCAGAGCTCGCCCTCTTAGTGGCGGCTTAGGAGTGACAATAGAGGAGCGGACCTGGAGTGCCGAAACACAGAGAGGGAAAGAGAAAGAGGGAGCTCACGTCCACATTTTTCACGCAGGTATGCAATTACACAGTAGAAACTGATTTGCACTAATTATTAGGGGTCTCATTTCAAAGTAGTTTGGCAGCAGAGAGGATGCAAGGCTGTGTGTGTGTGTGTGTGTGTGTGTGTCCTCATTTGTGTGTGTATTTTTGACTGTTTGAGTATGTTTTTCATTGCCTGACGACACAAACTGAATTCTTCCGCTGCTCTATGTTCACTACATACCTCAGTCTGAGACTACCATGGTTGAAGTCGTTTGTGGTGACGCCAAAATGAGGGTTGTTGTACAAAACAAAGTAATCAGCAATTGGATCATCTCTAACCAATCAGAGTATCAAAGCCAATAACACATTTTCTAAATGCCGCCTTACCCATGTGTTCTGGGCTGGCTTTGGCCCAACACATCGGTTTTCTGGGACCAATCAGAACGGTTAGAATGTGTTTGCGTTCTAGAAAATTGTCAGGGAGGTACTCAGATCCAGACTAATTGAGGAAAATAAACTAATGTCTGTGGGCGTGGTGTAAGGTTTGGCCGGAGCAAGGAGTTTTGGTAGCCAGGCAATGTTTTTCAAACGAGTACAGCATACTGTATGTATACATATTTTATAAATGCTTTTATGTCTGAGCATATTTATGTTCTGCATGAGGGAGTGAAGCAGGTCAAATGTAGTGTGTAAATGTACAGGTTAAGGTCAGTCAACTGGTGTAAAAAGTTATTGTGACACAGTTGACATAGAGGGTGTATACCACAACACCTTTAGGAAATGAAAGAGGTGACAATGACAGGCTATTTCTTTCTAGTAGAGGTAAACATTCTGTGCCATAATACAGATCAGGCATACATACTGCAATACGTTTATGTAGGTGTGAGTGTTGAAATTGTACTGACAACTATGCATCCACATTACACCTCTCACAGGAATTTACCAGCATCAGGCCTCAGTGTGTTCAACAGTGGCCACTGTATAGCTAGCTTGTCCCTCACATGCTATTTACAGTGGGAAGTTGTATCAGCTTATTGTATTTCAATTGAATAAATACTGTGTTGTTTAGTGTGTTTCATGTTGTACCTGACGACGGTCTGTTGTGCATTGCATTCTGTGTGTTCCAGCATCATGGCGTCAGCTGCTCCACAGAAGAGGATGGTATCCTCCTTCTTTATTACGCTGGCGTCCCCTTACAGAGCCACCATCACACAGCACCAACACACACGCGCACACAGCGCCACCGCCAATGACATGCCACATACAGCCACGCGGGTTGGCCCTGAGGACAGCAGCACCCGTAAACTCAGTGTCAGTGGCACACAGCAAAGCACCATTCACAGGCAGGAGAGGGCTCTGTCTGAGTCCCAGGGCAGTACACACAAAGGGGTCCAGAGCTCCACACCTTCCCTGGCCAGACCCTCAGAACCCAGAACTCCAGCCAGCCCAGTGGCCCCTGACCTCAACCTGGGTCTGGGAGACTCACAGCAGCAGCAGACACAGACAGCAGCAGACAAGGGTCCTGAAGGTAATCAGGAGTAGTCAATAAATTCATTACAAAATCAGTATTTTTTTCTGTGAAGAAATCTAGATATGACCATTTACATATAATTGTATTGTTATGAATGATAACAAAATACATACACTGTATAAAGAATATGTTGACAGACAGGTTTGTGATGAAGATGACAGTGCAATTACTGCAACATTCATATCAATACAGACAACCTCAAAAACCACCAAAACCTCTTGAACCTCTCTTCCTCACAGAGCTCCTTCCTCCACCTCCCCCTCCTCCCGTGTTTTTGGATGCTGAGCTGACTGAGGATTCCACACCTCTCCTGCCTCCTCCACCCATGCAGGAGTCCCCCACTGCCCCCCTCTTCCAACATGTGTCCTCAGACAGACCACCAGTGTCTGACCAACTGGTAAGACTGGCTCTACATCCTAGCTCAGTAATGTCTAGCAATGCACACAGTGATATACTGATAGTGATGGGTGCCAAAAGCTGTGTGCAGAGACTATTGTGTGCAACACGTGTAAAACAATACAGTAAAATTCTTACTTGAGAGCTATTTCCCAACAATGCAGTGATTATACAAATATTAATAATAATAATATAGATAACAATAGAACATGTAATCAAAAACACACAAGAAGTACGATATAAGTTGAAGAAACAGGAGAATGCAAGTATACTGTATACAGGTCAGTGCCAGTACCTTATTCAATGTACAGGGGTACTGGAGTATTTGAGGTGGGTTTATACATAAAAAAGTGACTGGTAGTAGGATACACAAGTAAACAGGGCTGAAAGGTGACTGGTAGTAGGAATATACACTGAGTGTACAAAATATTAGGAACACCTTCCTAATATTGAGTTGCATCCCCTTTTGCCCTCAGAACAGCCTCAATTCGTTGGGGCATTGACTCTACAATATGTCAAAAGCATTCCTCAGGGATGCTGGCCCATGTTGACTCCAATGCTTCCCACAGTTGTGTCAAGTTGGCTGGATGTCCTTCGGGTGGTGGACCATTCTTGATACACACTGGAAACTGTTGAGCGTGAAAAACCCAGCAGCGTTGCAGTTTTTGACTCAAACCAGTGCACCTGACACCTACTACCCTACCCGTTCAAAGACACTTAAATATTTTAAGGGGGGGTGTAAGTGTGTGGCGTCAGTAATGAGTGTGTGAGTGAGGGTGTATATGAGTGAGGGTGTATATGAGTGAGGGTGTATATGTGTGTGTGTATGTGAGTATGTGTGTGTGTGTGTGTGTGTGTGTGTGTGAGTAAGAGTGACAGGGAAGGTGTGTGTGTCTAAGTGGGTAGAGAGACCAGTGGATGGGCACAGAGTCAGTGTGGATAGTCTGTGGGAGAGGGAAAGCAGTCGTTTTTAGCCATTTAACAGTCTTATGGCCAGGAGATAGTCTGTTGGTCTGAGCCATGATGCACCGTAACCGCCTGCCGGACGGGAGCATGGAGAAGAGTCCATGTCCATTCCAGGTGACTACCTCATGAAGCTAGTTGAGAGAATGCCAAGAGTGTGCAAAGCTGTCATCAAGGCAAATGGTGGCTATTTGAAGAATCTCAAATATAAAATATATTTTGATTTGTTTAACATGTTTTTGGTCACTACATGATTCCATATGTGTTATTTCATAGTTTTGATGTCTTCACTATTATTCTACAATGTCGAAAATTGTAAAAATTAAGAAAAACCCTTGAATGAGAAGGTGTGTCCAAACTTTTGACAGGTACTATATGTATTACAGTTAAGTGGGGGGAAACACAGCTGTCTTTTGGATAAAAGTGGATGACACTGCACAAAAACATCCTCACCCGCTTATACAGCACTTAGAAGAAACAGGATTTTATCTAAACTGTTGATCTCTCTCAGGGAAACATTACCCTCCCTGTCGCCCCATTATTGTGTTCGGCGTTCTCAATCTCTCAGTCGAAACAATGAAAACACAGGCCAATAAGATGCCTGAACGGAAGGGCATTGGGGATTTGATGTATTTTTGCAAAGAACACTCACAGTGTGCAAGACTGGGGCCCCTTTCCCCATTACCATGAACTGTAGCCCTATTCCCTCTCCATCCAGAAGGTTTGGACCCAAAAAATTGCAATCTCATTTTGAGAGAGAGAAAATAAAGAGAAAATAGTGTATTGACATTACTTGAAAATGGCACTGTTGAGGAAGGCTTAAGAATAGCGTGTCTGTGTGCCAAACAAAATAATTAGTCACACAAGAGAAGAATCTTTGACTTAATCCCCTTTTTTACCCACAGAGTACTGCAGTGGATAGACAGCTGGAGCAAAGCACACCATCTAGTTGGGGGGAACAGAAGGAACCGTCCCAGCGGATCCAGGGCAGTCAAGAGGAGCAGCTAGTGACAGTAGAGACCAAGGGTAAGGTGAAGGGTCAAATTGTGTCTGGGAACTTTTAGAAATGTCACCTGGGCCTGGCACTTTTCACATTTCACAGTTATGATATCAGAGGTCGAATTACAGGGGAGCTAGGGGGATGAGAGGGGCACCCTCATAACAAATCGGGGACACCACATAAGATTTAAAATATAATAATAATAATATATTACATTTACAGTAGCAGATTTTAAATGGCATATATTTAGCATCTGTTAAATTGTCAGAGATATCGACTTCGAGCACCCCTAAACGTAAATGTGTAACTTGAACTCTGCTTGATATGTGAATGTTTGCTTTGTAGAGGTGTGTGGATTCTGTGGGTAGCCTGTAAAATTGTACAAGCGTCATCCGAAACTTTTCACATTTGACACTTGACTTGATGTATGCTTGCTTTGTAGAGGTGTGTGGCTTCTGCCGTAAGCCTGTGGCCCTGAGTGAAACTGCCATCGAGGCTCTGAACAGGACGTACCATGCCAGTTGCTTCCAGTGCAGACAGTGCCATATCCCTCTGGCTGGTAAACTGTATTACAACAAGGCAGGAATACCACTCTGTGAGGACTGCTACCAGGTATGACAACCTGGACTCAGGTGTAGATGTAACATAGTAAAAATAAATCCGGAACTCTCCAATTAGTATTTGTTACGTTTCGTATGGTATGTATTAATTTGTGAATGTCTATCATCCATTTCGTACAATATGTTACGAATTGCAATTTTTACATTATGTTACGAATTTGCAAAATGTATGATATGTTACAAATTCCAATTTGTTGTGGCTAACGTTAGCTATGTGGCTAGGTGGCTAATGTTAATGTTAGCTAGGTGACTAATGTTAGCAAGGCTAGGGGTTAGGGGTTAAGGTTAGGGTTAAGGTTGGGATTAAGGTTAAGGTTAAGGTTAGGACTTAGGTTAAAAGGTTAAGGTTAGGGGAAGGGTTAGCTAACATGCTAAGTAGTTGCAAAGTTGCTCATTAGCTAAAATGCTAAAGTTGTCCTCGATGAGATTCGAACATGCAACCTTTGGGTTGCTAGACATTCACGTTATATGCCCACCCATTCGTTTTTGCCTTAAGTAACCTTCTGTCCTATGTAAGCATACCAAACATAACATATCATACTAATTTGAGTGTCCTGGATTTACATTTACTATGTTATGTCTACTTTATGAGACCAGGCTGGGTATGAAGACCCTTCTGGAAAGGAACAAGACATATAGTAGATGATGACTTTAAGATATAGGATATTGAATGGATCACCTGTTGCAGGATAACTTTTCCAGGAAATTTAAAACTTATTCGAGGTTTAAAAAGGCTTCTGAAGTTTGTAATTTCCACTTTGAAATGTCTTCATCATAGAGGTAGTGGAAACACAATTATCATCATCATCATTAGCTTATTATTGTCCAGCTCCCCTACCCATTCCCCAACTACCTTGAGTCAGTATGTGTGATCTCCGACAGCAGCAGGGTCTTGGTCGTTGCGTGTCCAGTCCCCATTCCCTTTCCCAACTACTGCGGAGTGAGTGTCAGTCCTACAGTATGTGTCAACTAGTATAATTACTGTTTGTGAAGTAAATATGGTGATTATTATTAAGGTTCTGGTCTTCTGAAATGTCTGACTTGATTTTCCCTCCTGTGGTAACAAACTGGCTGAAATTAAGATCCTATGTCTTTATGATGATGATGATGATGATGAAGAAGATAATAACGATGATAAACTACTCTCTTTCCTTCAGGCCAGTTTGGAACTTTGCTGGGCATGTGGGGAAGTTATCAAAGACCACGTAATCCGTGCACTGGAAAGAGTTTACCACCCACCTTGCTTTATCTGTGCGACATGCAGACAACCAATTGGAGAGCAGAGATTTGCTCAGGGAGAGGTTGGGGAAGTGTATTGCCTCCAGGATTACTACAGGTACACACACAGCTACACAAATCTCCATCTTCTGTTCTGAGTTCTGACACACTCATATATCAGGATCACTTGATGATGAGAGCTACTAAATGGGCTTGATGTTGGTGTAATTGACAATTTTGATAATGAATTCACAATAATGAAATACTGTGCTCGCTCTGATTTGTGTGGCGAAGGAAATACGCTCCCCAGTGTAGTGCCTGCCAGCAGCTGATCATTCCAAGAGAGGATGGCACGGACAGCTACACCGTGGAGTGCCTGGGACGCTCCTTCCACGAGGACTGCTATCGCTGTGAGGTACAGTTCAGGAACAAGAGAAATGTTCTTTATATGATAGTGGGTAGCTATGGGTGTTTGCTATATTTGTGTGCCGATCTCAATCAGCACAATAATTACTGGGGATTGTGTCCTTCACAATCACAGTTCAAACATCTAAAATAGAATAATGTTAGAACAGAACAGAATAGAATAAAATAACTGTATTTTTCCCAGAGGAAACTTTGGCTGTGGCATCTGGATCTCACAGCTTTTTCCCTTTTATTCACCCTATCTTCAGGTCTGCAGTACCCAGCTCTCCCCAGAGCCAAACGACTATGGCTGCCATCCACTGGATGGGAGGGTGCTGTGTAAGTCTTGTCACCCATAGAGATGTAAAGAGGCCTCATCATTGTATCCATGCCATTGTGGTTGTCTGTGACAGCATGGGCAGCCTCATTGAGGCTATCTCCATTTTGAAGTAGTCCATTTTCTTCTTCACGATTGGCTGATCCCTCCCGATGACCCGGTTGCACATGACTCTAACAGGGTCACCAGGAGGGCTCAGCCAATTAAGTTGGAAGTCCCACCCATTTGACTACATTATAATGGTAGAAGTCCTAAATGGTGCTGCCCATGCTAAAATGGCCTTTTGGCCACTAGAGGCCTCTATCATTCTCTATGTTGTCACCTGACCATGGTTCAGTCTGCCCAGCTCTAATACTGAACTCAGAACCAGGGCCCGTATTAATAAAGCGTCTCAGAAAAGGAGTGCTGATCTAGGATCAGTTTGGCCTTTTAGATTTTAATTAATACGCTTTTATACAAAGGGCGGACCTGATCTTAGATCAGCATTCCTACTCTGAGACACTGAATATGAGCCCAGGCAGGAACCAGGACGGGACTGAGCCAGACCTGATCCAATCGGCACAGACATCCAACTGTGCAGTGGATCCAATGGAGAAGCAAGCTGAAAGTCAACAGTCCTGATTGGATTGTAAAGGAGAACTATCTATGAAACTGGGAGAGAAGACAGACCTTCTTAATTCTGCATCATGGGAATAAGTCGTTGCACTTTGAATGTCACACACTTTCTTAATCACAGTATTTAGAAATTATTTGCAACTATCCCTTATGTAGCAATACATGTTTATCAATTGCCTCCTATAGTTCTTTCATACTTGATACTTTTGCACTTTTTTTTAACCCACACTAGTAAACGCACCAAAAATATTTGCCTGGATTCACCTGATTGGTCCATGTCATGGAAGGAACAGGTATTCTTAAGTATTTTTTGGTATGCATTCTTTGAATATTATGTAGTGCTCAGTGCTGCGTGTCCATTCTCAATATATCCTTTCATATGACAAAATAAACTAATATATTATACAGTATTGCTTTGCTTTGTTTCTTGCTCCTCTGCCTCTCTCCATGTCATCAAGCTTTTTTGAGACAAGCATGTTCTTTGTATGGGAACACAATACACATGTTAATATAATAAAGAAACATATTAATTTAGGCCTATGCAAGGAAAATAGGATCTATGCAAGGGGAATAAACCCAGGGGCACTATAGTTCTGAGAACATAGACAATGATAGGGGTGGACATGGTGTGTTATGCAATATCAGAGCACACACAGTATAGGTGTCATTAAAACCTCCAGAAGTGATTTAGGCCTACAAAGATGACTTGCTTAACCAACCTCCATTTTAAATAGAATATTCACAAAGCCATGATACAAATAAAGGCTCTTTGATTTGGGAAGAATTGCGTTTATCCTGTCAATGCACTGCAGGCAAAGATCGTGCCATCCCTTGTCAGCACAGGGTTGCCTTGGAATAAGCCATTTTGGGGAGCATAGAATCACAGATCACCCTCAGGCAATATAGTAACGATGTCAGAATGGCTTCTCGATTCATTACAACCTCTGGTGCTGCATAGATGTGTTTTATGATGCAAAGCCCAAGGACTGCTACATTATTATGAAATGTAAAGAGCATCGGATAATTGCTCTTGAATAGCTGTCGCATGATCTCGGGAGCGCGCAAATCACGAGAAACGAAGCCGTCGTCACAGGGAAGAATACACACACTCGGAGGTATTGGGACGGAGCTAACTAGGCCAAGATAATTTTTACACGGAATCACTCGTCGTTCATTTTGTAAGGCGGACTTCCCGACCGGCGGAGATTAAAACTTGCTAGAGCATATGTGTATGAAGGGGGAAAGTAACGTACATGATGGTTCGGGAAACCAGGCACCTTTGGGTGGGAAATTTACCCGAACATGTTCGAGAGGAGAAAATTGTCGAACATTTTAAACGGTAAGTTACGCAAGAGGAGAGGCAGCGCGCTCTATGTCCAATATAGCTAGCCATCTGAGCTAGCTAACGTTAGCCATCATCAAGATGCAATACCAAATGGCCTCTGTTGTTTAAGATTTTTATTTGCCCGTGATATTTTTAACCAGCACACACCATATCCAGAATTTCACAATTTATTGGAATCCAGCAAGTTGAAATGCCACTGAACGCTAACTTGTTAGCTAACTAACTACCATTTTGTCGTTTACTCACTTGATAGAACGACGCAGCTAGCTAGCTACATCAGTTAATGCGTTGGTAGCTAGTTCAGCAAGAAATATAGCTAACATGCTAGTTATGTAGCTAATTTTGTTATTGAAGGATGTGGTAACACATCGTCTACTAGTTATGTATTTGCAGGGGCTATGTTATTAATCATTAGTTGGATTACTGAATAATGCATAGTCATCCAACTTTAGCGCTAAATGCATCGTTTCTCCACGTTCCTCCGATGCTACTGCTAGCTTCGTTAGCTGCCATAATTACCTAGCGGACGATATCGTGTTTGATTGCCTGGCGGCGAGTTTATCAACGTGCTAACATGATGAAAGCCCTCGTGTAACATATGGGCTTCTTGATTCTATCGCTCGTTCACTGCATAATTCATCACGTCTTCACTGCAATGTTTCGCGGTTCATATGGTCCGAAAAGTGGCTACCATAATAATCATGAATCTCTGCTCGATTCTCAAGCGTGTGCCAGGTATTGGATCCCTCAACATTCTAAAGCTTGGAAGTTGCAGGGAGGTAGTTATTTTGTTGCGGTTATGATAAGTTAGGTATTTGAAACCTTTTACATCGTAATCAATTTCTTTGAGCCTAACGTTAGGTTCTTGGAACTAGCTTTCAGCCAAGTGCCAGATTCAGTGAATATAAGCAATGTGTGCACCAGCACATGGATCTAGTGTTTCAGTGAAATAGTGTGCAACTATTGAAGAACCAAAATTAGAATTCTTGGCATCTTTTCAATTCCTTAAAAATAACAGCAGAGCACCCTATTTTCGATGTGCACACTAATAATAGATTCATATTAAAGCATCATTGTAATTCACAGGTTCCACTGACCCTCATCTTCTATGGAAGAGGATTTAGTTCAGGAATAGAACAACTTTAAGTTGAGAAGTCATAAAAAAATTTTTTGTTCACTACACTAAGGCCTCAAAAGGCATGGCCCTCCACTTAAAGGGAAAATCCACTCAAAAAGTATTGTTTGGTATTTTTTTAGTTAGTCCCAAAATGTTTTGCATGTCAGCAGTAAAGCTTTCAAGATATTAGTCATTTGCAACCTCTATCCAGAGCGACTTACAGTATGATATATTTTTTTATACTGGCCCGCCGTGGGAAACGAACCACAACCCTTGGAGTTTGCAAACGCCATGCTCTATCACTGAGCTACATCCCTGGCCGGGCCAGTTCCCTCCCCTACCCTGGACCGACGCTGGGCCAATTGTGCGACCGCCCAATGAGTCTTCAACCGGTCGCGGCAGAGCCATGACAGAAGCAAAGTATCACCGGCCACATCATCATGCCGGTGACTCTTTGCTTCTTGAAAGTTTAATATCTTGAAAACGTGACTTCTGACATGCACATTTTTTGTACTGTATCAACAGTGGAGTAATGAAAAAAAGACCTAAATATACTTTTTGAGTGGATTTTCCCTTTAATGTTAATTTGACTAATTGGCTGCCTGGCAAAATCAGCCTCCTGTGCTTTCTTTGCAGTTTAAAAATCTAGTTGCTAGCTATTATATTATTGTGCTTATCATAAGTCTGAATGGACACAGGTACATAGTCTCTCAATAGTGTGACATATCGTCCCATTTTGTTCTTGCTCCTCAGCTATGGACGTGTCGAGAGCGTCAAGGTCCTGCGGAAGCGCGGGTCGGAGGGCGGCGTGGCAGCCTTTGTGGATTTTGTGGATATCAAAAGTGCACAGAAGGCTCACAATGCTGTCAACAAAATGGGGGACAGAGACCTGCGCACTGACTACAACGAACCTGGGTCTGTCCCTAGTGCTGTTCGGAGCCTTGATGACAACCCCCCTTCGAGCAGTCACGGGCGGGATGTTTCAGGATTCTCTAGGGGGGCAGTGGGTCCAGTGTTTGGCCCCCCAGTGTCCCTCCACACCAGAGAGGGGCGGTATGAACGGATAAGAGACTGGTAAGTGGACATAGTCTCCCTCTGAAGTACTGGGGGATCAGGGTGTCAGTAAAAAAAAGCATTATCCCACAATAACATGATTTCATTGTTGGGTTATTAATAAAACAAGGGGAATAGATTCCTTACAGTTTTACATAAAGGTAACCTAGGGAACAATCTCTTCACCGTCCGCACAGACCTGGCCTTTTTCGCAGGATCTAAGTGAATTATTTATGCAAATCTATTGGTCATTAAAGATGTATGAGGTATTATCATTCAAAATTTCGGATGTATTATGTGAGACGTATCCTGCTTTCACGTTGGATATTACACCTGTGGGGAATATCCTGGTGAGTTTGGATATATCACATTTGTTGGATTTTATCCTGGTGAGTTTTCGGATATTTTCATTTTACAAACCATGGATTCTAACCGTGATTTACCTGGGATCGTTGCCTGTGATGGATTAAATACCTCCTATATTTTCTTGAGAATTATATTCAGGCAAGTAAATTCACATATGGACTACACATCAGGAAAGACAGGGAGTATTGTCGTTTTTTCCTCACCACTTTGCCACTGCTGGACAGAAGGCATTTTTCTGGAAGTCTCCAAACGAAGGATATCTGCTACTCGTCTGGATTTAAATAACACCATGGACCAAAGGATGTAAGTTGGCTAGGTGTCATCACAGGGCCCCATCAGTACATCATTAACCGCTAGTTGATCATTTGCAGATAAGGGAATTTACATTTTACAGGGTGTAATTGTAATTTAGTATGGAGCTTATATCAAAAGGAACTAAAGAGAAACTGAGGAGTAACAGAAAACACCCATCAAGAAATTCCATGGAAATATTTTTTGGAGAGAGATGGCCATGAAGACAACTGAAGACATGCATTTTGGATGTACATCATGGAAGTAATCCCCACATTGGATGTAAGGATGTTGGGTATAGGATGTACACAGGTGTAACCACACTTCTTTTGCTGGATTACTCTGCTCTAGTGTGGATTTAGCTGTATATCCTCTCAGCATCACTATTTGGGGTTACGAACAAAGAACAGAAACGTCTGCATTTTCAAAGAAAACCGAAAGAAGCCTGAAGATGTCATCTATACAGTGATGGGAGTAGACTGTTTATTTGGCCCTTGGGATATGTAATAGTGCTATTTTAAGGAATTAATTACGTTGCAGTGGACTAGGATTATTCCGTGCATTATGGTGAGAGAAGATACTGTTTTTTTTATTGGAGGGTAAGCACATGGGCTTGCTAGTTTCGAGGAGGACTAATACAGTAATATGCAGATATCTGACTTGTTGCTTCTTTATTCTAGCAAGTTGGATATGTTTTCAGTCTCTCCCATCTCAAGTGTCACTTTTGAAATGCACTGCTATGCCCTTAAGTGTGCCTCATCTTTTTTTCAAATCATACCTGTATCAAACGTTGTCATAAGAAATCAATTTCTTTGGTTATTTTGTTTTCTTTCTTTTTCCATCAAATGAAGAGATTAAGAGATGGTGGATTATACCTAAAATACCTGCCCTACCCATTGTTCTACTCAAATGTCGAAGACTATACATATGAAGACAATAACCTTTTTGCTCAAGTTTTTTAAATCCGAATGATTTTTGCTTTTTATTCCGGCTCACACAATTCTGACGACCTAGATTGTATTTGGGATTATAGGTTCGGTTACTGCTTTTGGAAAAGGTTGGTATTGTCCTGCCCTCTGCATCTCTTTTTCTCGTCTCCTGCACTAATTGTTAGAGCTTTTAGAGAAAAAGATGCAGCTGCTTGGGCCAGAGGGCTTCTGCAGACACCTTTTGTGCGAATGGCTTGTCTTTCTCTTCCTTGCGCTTTTTTTCTCTTTCTGTTACTCTTTTTCTGTCTCTCCCTCCCGTTCTTGCTTTTTCTCCTCTTAGTTACTAGGTGGCTTAATATAGGCTAGTTAAGATCTAGCAGGTCCACCAGCATTTCCCTCACCTGCCAAGACCCCCTGTTCTTACTTGATTCAGAAATTGTATTTGATCTGAGTAGGAACTCACTTGCCTACTCTGACAAATGCCAAATGTGATATGTGATATGACACAGCTTCCAGATAATTAGAATAAATGCAAACGATAAGTTCAATAGTTTCACAGATCATAATTACGGTTGCGGTAGTGTTACGTTTGGCCAACAAATACATTCTCACAATGTGTGTTCATGCATTTTTGAGTCTCAAGCATGGCCCTTATATTTAGTTTAATGTCCGAGGGTTACCTTACTCAATGCTAGAACTGGGAAGATAAATAGAAACATTATCGACACCGATCACTTATCGCAGGAATTTTGTTGATATCATTCATTACGATAAGTAGCCTATACTAGAGAAATGTTAAGTTTGAAATTAAATTATTGTTAAATGGGACAATTGATGGCTACAACCATCAAACTAGTAGTAGTAGTTTAAAGGATAATAAATAAGAAAAGGTGGTAAACTCATCATTCTATTTATCATTATCGCATCAATTCAGGCAATTTATCACAATATAGATTTTTTCCCCCCATATCGCCCAGCTCTATTCTACAGTGAAGGAAAAAGTATTTGATCCCCTGCTGATTTTGTACGTTTGCCCACTGACAAAGACATGATCAGTCTATAATTTTAATGGTAGGTTTATTTGAACAGTGAGAGACAGAATAACAACAAAAAAATCCAGAAAAACGCATGTAAAAAATGTTATAAATTGATTTGCATTTTAATGATGGAAATAAGTATTTGACCCCTCTGCAAAATGAGAGTGACAGTACTTGGTGGCAAAACCCTTGTTGGCAATCACAGAGGTCAGACGTTTCTTGTAGTTGGCCACCAGGTTTGCACACATCTCAGGAGGGATTTTGTCCCACTCCTCTTTGCAGATCTTCTCCAAGTCATTAAGGTTTCGAGGCTGACGTTTGGCAACTCGAACCTTCAGCTCCCTCCACAGATTTTCTATGGGATTAAGGTCTGGAGACTGGCTAGGCCACTCCAGGACCTTAATGTGCTTCTTCTTGAGCCACTCCTTTGTTGCCTTGGCCGTGTGTTTTGGGTCATTGTCATGCTGGAATATCCTTCCACAACCCATTTTCATAGCCCTGGCTGAGGGAAGGAGGTTCTCACCCAAGATTTGACGGTACATGGCCCCGTCGATCGTCCCTTTGATGCAGTGAAGTTGTCCTGTCCCCTTAGCAGAAAAACACCCCCAAAGCATAATGTTTCCACCTCCATGTTTGACAGTGGGGATGGTGTTCTTGGGATCATAGGCAGCATTCCCCCCCCGTCCAAACACGGCGCGTTGAGTTGATGACAAAGAGCTCGATTTTGGTCTCATCTGACCACAACACTTTCACCCAGTTCTCCTCTGAATCATTCAGATGTTCATTGGCAAACTTCAGACGGGCCTGTATATGTGCTTTCTTGAGCAGGGGGACTTTGGGGCGCTGCAGGATTTCAGTCCTTCATGGCGTAGTGTGTTACCAATTGTTTTCTTGGTGACTATGGTCCCAGCTGCCTTGAGATCATTGACAAGATCCTCCCGTGTAGTTCTGGGCTGATTCCTCAGCGTTCTAATGATCATTGCAACTCCACGAGGTGAGATCTTGCATGGAGCCCCAGGCCGAGGGAGTTTGACAGTTATTTTGTGTTTCTTTCATTTGCGAATAATCGCACCAACTGTTGTCACCTTCTCACCAAGCTGCTTGGCGATGGTCTTGTAGCCCATTCCAGCCTTGTGTAGGTCTACAATCTTGTCCCTGACATCCTTGGAGAGCACTTTGGTCTTGGCCATGGTGGAGAGTTTGGAATCTGATTGATTGCTTCTGTGGACAGGTGTCTTTTATACAGGTAACAAGCTGTATATAAGAGTGTGCTCCTAATCTCAGCTCGTTACCTGTATAAAAGACACCTGTGAGCCAGAAATCTTTCTGATTGAGAGGGGGTCAAATACTTATTTCCCTCGTTAAAATGCAAATCAATTTATAACATTTTTGACTTGTTTTTTTCTGGATTGTTTTGTTGTTATTCTGTCTCTCACTGTTCAAGTAAACCTACCATACCTACCATTAATAAATACCTACCATTTATAGACTGATCATTTCTTTGTCAGTGGGCAAACGTACAAAATCAGCAGGGGATCAAATACTTTTTTCCCTCACTGTATGCCTCCAGAGTAGATCTGCCCCATTTTATTTCCTAACAGATACAACCTGTTGTCTGTCAGCATTAATACTCGAGGACATCATTTAATACCTACATAGATCCCGTGCTCAGCAGGGTCCCTGTTTGTGTGTGTATTTAAGTTTAAGTTTTATCAGTGCACTGCCTATTTTAAACTTCATTGTGTATTGGAACTATCCAATAGTTATCTGTATTTTTGGAGTCACACTAATACTCTCCCTCTCGCTATATCTCTTCTCTCTCTCTCCCCTATCCATCCATCCTTTACCTGTGTCTTCCAGCAGCTCCGAGAGCCGGGAGCGTGCATATGATCACAGCCCCTATGGACACCATGAGCGCGCTGGCACTTTTGATAGACAGCGCCACTACAACGCAGACTATTACCGTGATCGCACCATGTTTGCAGCTGGAGTTAGCCCTGGCCCTGGAAGTAGCAGTGCCATGGGTGGGAGCTTTGAAACCCCGGACGCTCATTTTGAGTCCAGGATCCGAGGAGATCCCTTCACCTTGTCTAGTGCTGCACGCCGCGACCCCTATCGAGATGACAGGGGACGTCGTGTTGACAGAACTTACCATCACCGCCGCAGTCGGTCATCTCATTCCTCACAGTCTCGACACACCTCCCCACAAAGGACCACGGGGCAAACACCCAAAGCCCCCCATTCCCCCAAAAGAGCCCCCCTCTCCCCAGGACGAGGTCCATGCTCTAGGTCCCGCAGTAGGTCCTCTAGCTCTGATTCTGTCAGTAGCACCAGCAGCACCGGCAGTGGCAGGTAGGATGTGCTTTTGTGATGGTATGGTGGAGCACAAATCAGTCAATTAGCCTATGTTGTAGAGATGTGTGCAAGAGATGGGAACATATTCCACTTACCCAGTTGTAAAATATCTTGCTTGACTCTAGAATTATGGAGAGAATTTCACTGACCTGAGATGCATACAGATGTACCCTTTTATTTAGTAAAGTTAGCTGAAGATCATCTGAACATTTCCCCCTCTTTCCTCACATTTGTCCATTTGGCAGCAGCGATTCAAACAGCAGCTCAAGTGATGGGTCTCGTGCACGCTCTGTTCAGTCCTCTGCTACACATGCACCTCCCTCTCAGCCCTGCTCCATGGTGATGGAAGGTGATGAGCCACGCAGAAGCTTTGGCATCAGGGTGCAGAACCTACCAGTGCGCTCCACAGGTAAGTACCACTACCTAGCAGCATACTCATAAACATGCAGTCTGCCTGGACTTTGCTGTGCACCTTGACATTCTGGTTCCACTTTGCTGGGCACCATGACATTCTGGTTCCACTTTGCTGGGCCCCATGACATTATGTAATAAATATCGTAATCCTCTGCCATTTCGTGTCTACATGGTGAGCTATAGCGCTAGCTAATCAAAGCACTTTTTCCCCCTGCATTCTCCACCTTTAGATAACATTTTATTTTGTCCCTCACGATGCAGCTGCATGACCCATATCAAGCATCAATTAACTGTCAATTTCCCTCTCCAGACACAAGTTTGAAAGATGGACTGTTCCATGAGTTCAAGAAACATGGGAAAGTGACATCCGTGCAGATCCACGGGGCTTCAGAGGACCGATATGGTCTGGTGTTCTTCAGACAGCAGGAAGACCAAGAGAAAGCCCTCAACGTCTCCAAAGGAAAGCTTTTTTTCGGCATGATGATCGAGGTTTCTGTCTGGAACGGCCCTGGTATGAAACTTTTTAGTGTCTAAATGTAATGTCATATCTGTAATTCTTTCATTATTTGAGCTTGGGCCTTAAATCCTAATGATGGAGTTGTAATGAGTGGTCATTCACATACTGTTGAGAGTACTTGTATTGTCTTGTTTAGTGATTGTAATAGAAGTCTTTCCCTCAGAAACCGAGAGCGAGAATGAATTCAGGCCATTGGATGGACGGATTGATGAATTCCACCCCAAGGCCACAAGGACCCTGTTTATCGGCAACTTGGAGAAGACCACCAGTTACCAACAGCTCCTTGATATCTTCCAGCGCTTTGGCGAGATTGTGGTATGTATGTTACTGCACACTGATGGGTTGTGCTAAGTTAAATATCTCTTCTAAAAAAAAATTGAGAATTGCCTGTTTTGTTCTTTGTCTTTTAAATATTTATTCATTTTGTCATCCCTCATACAGGACATTGACATTAAAAAGGTCAATGGTATTCCTCAATACGCCTTTGTGCAGTATTCTGATATTGCCAGTGTCTGCAAAGCTATAAAGAAGATGGATGGAGAGTATTTAGGGAGCAACCGGCTCAAGGTATTATTCATAAATCTATATTGCCCTTACCTCTAGTTATCCATGATGGTACAAAAGGAATTGAGTTCAGTGATACAGAACTACCCTCAGCAATTATTATTGTCAATGTTTCTACATCCTGTGTCGTCTTCTGTCTCCTTTGCAGCTGGGTTTTGGGAAGAGTATGCCCACAACATGTGTTTGGCTGGACGGTTTGGCTTCCAACATTACAGAGCAATATCTCACACGCCACTTCTGCCGCTATGGACATGTAGTCAAGGTCTACCCTTTTCTCCATCCCCAATGTTCTTGGAATCCCTGAAATTGTAGATACTATATTAGACTAGTTATTCTAAACAAGATTTTTGCTTTTCCTCTTTTAGGTGGTGTTTGACAGGTTAAAGGGGATGTCTCTCATCTTGTATAACAACACAGATTTTGCACAGGCAGCTGTCAGGGAGACCAAAGGCTGGAAGATTGGAGGCAACAAAATAAAGGTATGAATAAACAAGTTGAATTAATCAGTGACTGACATTTTAACAGTAAACCAGATGGAGGGAGCTAATTTGTTGATTTTCAGGTGGATTTTGCCAGCCAAGAGAGTCAGATGGCTTTTTATCGCTCTATGCAGGCCTCTGGGCAAGACATTAGAGACTTCTACGAAATTCCAACTGAAAGAAGGTAAGGTTCACATTTGTTATTTGTGATGAATGGAGGGAGTACTTTGAATTACTGTTTTCTGGTGTACTTCTTGGATCTCACGTCAATGTTCTTTTTTTTCTTCTATTCGACAACCCCCTGCTTTACAGGGAGGAACGACCAAGACCTCCATACCACGAGTTCTCAGCAGAAAGAGCCTACTTTGAGAATGTACACACCCCTGGCACCATTTACCCTGAAGACCCTCACAGAGACTACCCCGCCCGCAGCCGTGATCGGTATTCGGAGTTGGAGCATTACCAGGGAAGAACACTTTGACCCACGCTATCATGAGGACCCTCGGGAGTTCAGGGATTATCGAGATCCTTTTGAGCAGGACATTCGGAAATACACATACATCCAGAGGGAGCGAGAAAGAGAGCGGGAGCGCTTTGAGGCAGACCGTGGCAGGTGGAGCCCCTCTCATCCACGGCGCCCGATCACCCCTTCTGCCTCCCCTTCACCATCTGAGCGTGCTCCCAGAGACCCAGAGCGACGGGTCTACAGCCAGTCCTCTGAGCGAAGTGGTAGTTGCAGCTCACTCTCACCACCACGCTTTGACAAGGCTGACAAGGCTCCTCCATTGGAACACGGAGCCAGCTCTAAGATTGATAGGTTGGAAAAAGACGCCCACCCGGTTGAACCTGAGCGTGAGCGTGGAGCTGGGGCTGAGAAGAGCAAGCGGGGGAGACGAAAGGAGAAAGGTGACAAAGAAAAAGGAGAGAAGAGTAAATCAAGGAAAGGAAAGGTGCAATCTCCCAGTATCCCACCGTCTGAGACAGAGCTAGAACCCAGCCTGGATGGAGGCTCTGGAAGGGGAAAGGTGTCGGACCAAGACAGCCTTGAGAGACAGATATATAAAGGTGACAATGACCCTCCTCCTTCAGATCCGACAGCGTCAACCTCTCGCCATGAGCCTGTAAAAAGTGAGAGGCTTGAGTCGGGGAAAGGTGAGATCGCAGACAAGGATGTTAAAACACGATCCAAGAAACACCAAAAGTCTGACACTGGAAATGATGGGAAAGATCCATCACTGGATTCTGATCGGCTGGCTGCGAGAAAGAGGCGCTTTGGAGATGCCAGTGGAAGGACTATTCGGCAGAAGAGGAGAAGGCTGGAGGATGGGAGTCAACCCCCAGACTTCGGAGCTAGCACTGCCTTTTCAAAAGAGAAGGATGGCGACGACAAGGCTCAACAAAAAGACTCCCAGCGGCGGGATTCAAGATCCAAAATGGAGAGGCTGGTGTTTCTTGGCAGTCAGGATCCTGTAATTAGAGGACAGGAAGAGCTGCCTGAGGGGAGCATGGACCCTATAGACTCAAAACACCACAGTATGTCTAGAAGGTTCTCCAACGATGGGAGCATGGATCATGATAATACAAGAGATCAAGATCCACTGAGCCCTTTCAAATATGGTGCACAGGACAATGACAAGGGTGTCAAGGAAGAGCCTCTGGATATTGACCTCTCCCAGAGTTACCGCAAACAGATGGAGCAAAGGAGGCTTCACCAACAGCTGCAAGAGCCAGACAAACAAGAAAAACCAGGAAGTCCACAAGGCTTAGAAAGGGAGGATCTTGAACACCGCAGTCTGGTACATGAAGTGGGCAAGCCACCTCAAGACGTCACAGATAATTTCCCATCTCATAAACTCAAGAAACTAGAGCAATTTGACGCAGATATTAGTGCCAAAAGGGGGGACCGCGTCTACAGGAGCTTCCGGCAAAAGAGTGAAGATCCTGAGTGGAACAACACTGCATCTCCAGGCTTGCAACACTTCTCTCATCATGCTGAAGATCCTGAGTGGAACAACACTGCATCTCCAGGCTTGCAACACTTCTCTCATCATGCTGAAGAGGACTTTGCGGAATCTTCACACCTCAGGGAGGTTAAAACTGAGGATAAAAGCCACCCAGATCTGGAGCTGGCAGTCAAAAGGACACATACAATGCAAATGTCGAAGCCTAACACTCCTTTACAAATTAGTGAAGAAGAGCGGGAAAAACGTTGGGAGAGCAGAGTCAAGCAAGATTTTTTACCCGACTTAAACTTCTCAAGAGTCATTGGAAAAAATCCACACCATCGCAAGCGTTTGGAGTACGGCATTTTGAATGATTTGGAGCCTGGGGAAGTACGATCCGATTCTGAAGAGGATAGAGAGGACAAACCACACTCTCCTATGCCCTCCACTTCTGGACCTTTGTCTGACAGGCAGAGTGTGGACAGATTTTCAGACCCTAAGCTTGCCACCTTGGAGAGGATGAAGTTCTACTCCTTTGCACTTGACCAGACTATCACACCAGATACCAAGGCCCTGCTAGAGCGAGCAAAGTCTCTGTCCTCCTCTAGGGAGGACAACTGGTCTTTCTTGGACTATGATTCACACTTTGCTGGTTTACGCAGTAGGAAAGATACTGAGAAGGTTGAGTCAGCACCACGACCTACACCCTCTTGGTACATGAAGAAAAAGAAAATTCGCAGTAGTGGGTCTGAAGACAAACTAGATGACAGGAAGGAAGAGCCCAAGCCCAAGCCAGAGGAACATGAACGCAGGGAACTGTTTGCCTCACGTTTCCTTCACAGCTCGATCTTTGAGCAGGACTCGAGACGTCTTCAGCACCTTGAGCGAAAACATGAGGACCATGAGCAGAGTCCGGGTCAACAAACTGGTCAGCAAGGCCCGGCAGATGGGCAGCCTGACACAGAACCAGTTGTCCTCTTCCATAGCCGCTTTTTGGAGTTCACGCGGCTGCAACAGCAGAAAGACCAACCGCTACCAGATGTAAAAAAGGCAGATTCCATAGATGAGAATAGGGTGGAGAAGTCACCTGAGGCAGAACAGCAACCTCTGCAGTTACCTAAAACCTCAGAACCTGTGATGGATCCAGAAATTAAACCTATTAGCCTTGCTGAGGACATTATTTCCCAGCCCCCACTTATGCCCAAGGAGATGTCTCGACCCAAGCAAATGTCTCCACTCCTCCTTCCACCCAAGCAGATGTCTCCACCCCTTCCACCCAAGGAGATGTCTCCACCCAAGCAGATGTTTCCACCCCTTCCACCCAAGGAGATGTCTCCACCCAAGCAGACGTCTCCACCCAAGCAGATATCTCCACTCCTTCCGCCCAAGGAGATGTCTCCACCAGTGGAAACACATGTCATGTTTACTCCATCCCTAGAGCCAGAGGCTCCAGAGCCAGCTGCCATAGAACCTTTGACAAAAGAAGAAAACATAGAAAATGAACAGCGCCCTCCCCTCCCGCAAATGTCTCCCCCTGCTTCTGTTATTGGCCGATCCTTCTGTTTAAGTCTTTTAAATGCCTAGCCACTGTC